TGACGTGTGTCCTCCCAAGGAACTGCATTATGTGCCCTACGTTGGCAGCGCCGTGGAAGAGCCAGCATTGCCACCTCCAACGCAACTCTTACCAGTGACCACGTCCCCACTGCCGCGAACTCGGGATACGGTGAACCGTCATATCATTGTGCTGATTGCCAATTACCGCGACTCGAAACGTTGTGGGGAAAGCATTCAATCACTTTACAACAACGCATCTCGCCCCGATCTCATTGCCGTGAGCATCTTTGACCAAATTGATTTGGACGCCAACGAGTTGCCCTGCTTTGACGAGTATTGCAAACTGGTGGGCGACGCCAACTGCCACCGCGCCGAACGCCTCCGTCGAAGCGACGCCATCAGTTTCAAGGACGCCAACGGACCAACGTATGGTCGGTACCAAACGGAAAAAGGCATCGACCCCACGATCGATACGTTTGCCATGGCGATTGACTCGCACCTGATTTTCATTCCAAACTGGGACACGGACCTCGTCGCGCAATGGGATTCTATCAACAACCCCAAGGGGATCATCACCGTGTACCCCGACTCGACCAACATGTATCCAAAAGATGGCCACATCCCCAGCGAAGTCATCTTGATGTGTCATGCTCGCATTGAAAACGATCGTGACGACTCCATGGTGCAATACACCAACGCCATCCGGATCCCAAGCCCTCCGAAGCCGCAGCTCATGTCCCAATTTGCTGGGGGATTCAATTTTGGAACGGTCGAGTCGGCGCTGGAAGTCCGCAATGACCCATACACGCCCTACTTGTTCCACGGTGAAGAGTACTCGCGTGTGGCGCGACTGTTTACGCACGGCTACGACACGTACATTCCCACGCACATGGTGAACTACCATTGGTACGAACAGCGCAAAGTGATGTGGGACGAAGGCTGGGATGCCAAGGCCGTGATCTCAAGAAGGTCCCAGCGTCGAGTTCGTGCAGCGTTGGGGCTCCCCACCACATCGGACGATTATGACAAGACTGACTTGGCTCAATTTTCCATTGGCACGAAGCGATCGATGGACCAATTCAAGGCGTTCTCTGGCATCGACCCCTTGGCGAAATGGATCAAGGACAACAACACCCAGTTCGATGTGTGCCCGCCTCGTGTCTTGCAGTACGTTCCTTACCAAGGCAGCCCCGTCCAGGAGCCCGTGCTGGAAGTGGAAGCGCCAGCCGCCGTCGTAAAGCCGACCATTTCACGCACGCGCGACTCTGTGAACCGCCACACTATTGTGCTCATAGCAAACTATCGCGACACGAAACGGTGCAGTGAAACGGTGGACTCGATCTTCTCGAGGGCAGATCGCCCCGAGCTGATTGCCGTGAGTATCTTCGACCAGCTCAACCTGGACGCAGGCGAGAAACGATGCTTTGACGCGTACTGTGACCTTGTGGGAGAAGCCAACTGCCACCGGTCAGAACGGCTCCGGCGTAATGACACTGTGAGCTACAAGGATGCCAAGGGGCCTACGTACGGTCGATATCAAACAGAAGAAGGCGTGGACCTGACCATCGACACCTTTGCCATGGCCATCGACTCGCATTTGATCTTCATTCCGCATTGGGACACGGATCTGCTCGGTCAGTGGGACACGATTGGCAACCCAAAGGCCATCATCACGGTGTACCCTGATGCGACTGAGAACATGCCCCCAGCCGGAGAAAAACCCACCGGTGTCATCTTGATGTGCCACGCTCGCATCGAAAATGACCAGCCGGACTCGATGGTGCAGTACAGTTCCGCCGTCCGCCTCCCGTCTCCTGCCAAGCCGACGCTCATGTCTCAATTCGCTGGTGGGTTCAACTTTGGGTCGGCAGAGTCGGCCGTGGAGGTCCGCAACGATCCGTACGCCGCCTACCTCTTTCACGGCGAAGAGTACTCTCGCGTGGCCCGGCTGTTTACGTTTGGTTACGACACGTACATCCCCACGCACATGTTGAACTACCATTGGTACGAAAAGCGCAATGGGATGTGGGACGAAGACTGGGCGGCACGGACGGTGATCGCCAAGAAGTCTCAGCGGCGCATTCGAGCGGCGTTGGGCTTGGTGCCGTCGTCCGACGACTACGACAAGACGGACCTGGACAAGTTTACCATTGGCACGAAGCGAACGATGGAGCAGTTCCGCGAATTTTCTGGCATCAACCCCGACGCCGCGTGGATCAAAGACAACGAGCACCAGTTCGACGTGTGTCCTCCCAAGGAAGTCAAGTACGTCCCGTACGCGGGAAGTCCTGTGCAGGATCTCGTGGTGGTATAGTATGTCGCTGACCTTCCAATTGCCAATGAGGCCACCATGTATATAACGTGTGTACATTTGTTTCGCACTGTTATTTGTGTCTATATTCTTCGTGTTAGAGTTATAACACCCACGCCCTTGTTCACCGCCAGAAAATCGTCATCAGTCTTGGTCTACCTTTTTCTTTGGTTTCTTGTCCTCTGGTGCGGCCGAAGCGGGTGCACTGCCGCTCGCTTCCTTGGACGCGACGGTGGTGAATTTCACAATGAGGTTCATGGACACGGCATCGTCTTCCGACAGCCGCCGTCCATCTTCGCCCTCTGCGTAGAGGTAGTTTGCGCCGACCACGGGCGACAGCACGTACGCGACTTCGCGCACCGTCGTCCCTGGTCTGACGAGCACAGCATGCCCAAACACATCGCCTTCGACCGTGGTAAAGTTCTTGAGTGACTTGACAGGGTACACGACCACCATGTTGCTGAGGGCCACGGCGGCGTTGATGGCGGCGCGAACGCCGGTGCTGCCGTAGCGGAAGAGCACCATGTCGCTCACTTGGTCGAGCCGCGCCGCCATTTTCGGCATCAATGGCGCCAGCGTCGCGTCGTCGGCGCTGGTCGTGTACACCATGTCCCCGGGTTCGTAATGGATGTGACGCTTTGAGTGCATGTTGCGAAGAAACACTTCAGACGCAGCACTCGCGACAAAGCATCGGTCGCCGCCGTACTTGTCGACAATGCGCTCGATGTTCTTGTCCGTGTCGTTGCCAATATCTGCTTTGTTGAGCACTAAAATCGTGGGAAACCGCTGCGCGAGGAACGCATCGACCAGAGCATGCACTTCTGGCTCCCCCCATGTCGTGAGCACACATGGTTCCTTGGCCGCGTCCCCCATGCTGTTGAGCATCGCGAGAATCGTCGCCACCGATGCGCCATACCCGCTCAACTGACCCTGGAACGTCGCGCGAAGGGTGCTTTGGGTCGCGGAGTGCCGCCTTGAAATGGAACCCCACCGCTTCCACAAGTTGTTGAACACCCAGTTGTGGATTTCCATAGTGAGCCAGTCAGCGTCGTTCAGCGGGTTGTAGCCGATTGTAGACTCACCCTTCTCGTTGGTCGTGCCGCTCACGTCCACGATGTGCATCAACACGTGCGCGTGCCGCAGGTCGTCCAGGAACTTGTTCCCGAGACCTGCACCCTCCGACGCACCAGGAATCAATCCTGCCACGTCCAATAGCTTCACGGGAATGTGGCGCGTTCCACCCACGCATTGTCCGTACCGAGGCTTGCACAAGTCGATCTTGCCGCGCGACTTGCATGGACACTCCGTCGTGTAGTACGTGATTCCTTCGTTGGGCTCGATGGTTGTAAACGGGAAGTTGCCCACTTTCGCTTTGCCATCCGTGACGGCATTGAAGAACGTGGACTTACCCGCAGAGGGCTTCCCAACGCACCCGATCACAAGCTCCATTGTCCGAGTCGCAAATTGCTGGCGGCGGGCTGTGTCACTAAAAATTGAGCACAAAAAACCTCAAAATTATGTCAATATGCAGGATAAATCCGTGCAAATCGCCAAAATATCCGGAATATTTGTATCACTTGCATTTTATTTTTTTAGCATTCTGCAAAATAGCGACCAAACACAACAATTGCAAGGTCAATCGAAATGCAAAAGGAAGCGCGTCGCATCCTGGATGACGCGAGGGCGGACGTGTCTGGAGAACGATGCTTGCTCCGAGTGTTGGATGCAATCACAGTGACGGAATCGAATGCATTGAGCCAACTCCTCATGGCTGGTACGATGTCATACCATGGAGCTGCAAATCAACCTCCAGTCCATTAGGTCTTTACGAGATGGCGGACAACGCGCTGTTTACGCGCAAGTCGCTGCTCCATCACGTCAGTCGCGTAGCCTCCCTTCCGACGTTGTCCGACGAAAAAGCCGAGTACGTCGGGTATGCCTTGGCGGGGCTGGCGTTTTCCCTCTGGACCAACGACGACGACGAAAACGACGACGTCAACAAGTCGCTTTCGCGGGTCTGGCAAGGGCATGCGATGGTGCTCGTTGGCGTGACCGCGTACGTGGAAGAGACCCTTGTGACGCTTCCGTCCGCGGATCGACAAGTGCTGTTGTCGTGCTTCCGCCAGTTGTTTCTGCGTACTCTTGGCAGCCCCGCAACATGTAATCCACTTCATATTCTTGGTCATGCGTTCTTCTCACGAAGTCCGTAGCTCCCCTCGTCAAGCAAACCGTGGCCTCGGTGATTGTTCGCATTGGATGGAGCGTGGATGTCGAGTCCCAGCGCATCTTCGTGGTGCAATCCTTGCTTCTCCGCACTATCCAACTGCTCCCGATCGACTCGAACATTGCCTCGACCATGCTTCTCAGCACCGTCGACCTCGGCACATCCATCCGCGACGCGACTACCCACGCCGCCATCGCGTCCACGCTTCTTAGCCGACTGCCGCATGTCCAAGGTACCCTCCTCCGTCGTCTATCGTCCATCTCATGTTTGTTTTAGCCCTAGGTCGCGGCGCCTTGCACCTCCTCCTCGCCCTCGAGTCACTCGTCACCGCCGCCCCCGCCATCGCATGGGACGTGGACGTCAACCTCGTTGGCGTGCTGGCCTTGGTCGTCGCCAAACTCGCCGCCGTCGACCAAGCGATTCTCCTTCGCGTGCTGCGCGTCGTCTTGAACGCCGCGCCGGCACCCGGTAGCCCGAGGCACGTATACGCCGAAGTGTTATTTGCGCCGTTGCTACAGTTGCTGCCGGCGTCGGCGTCGCACTTGCAGCAACTCCAACACTTGACCTCGCACGTCCCCTTCCAGCCGCGTCCTGACGCCGCCGCCCCGACATCAACGCTGTCACTGGCGTCTCTTATCAGTCCGCATGTTTCGCTAGTGCATTTGCTCTCCTCTTCCGTCCACTCCCATCATGCTGAGGCGTGGCTCGACGCCGCCACACGCCACCTGACGTCGTCGTCGGTGGACCTCCCCCCCTTCGATCCGGACGCCGTCCTCGTCACGTGCGCGCTGCTCTTCCATCCGTCCCCCGAAGTCCAAGACGCCGCGATTGCTGCCGCCAAGGCGTCTGTCCTTGCTTGGCCCGCCGCCGGACGGATGCTCGTGCCGTGCATAGTGTACGCCCTCGCCATCCCTCGACCGTCGTCGTCGTCTGTCCTCGCGCTTCTGCATGTGCTCTTGGCGGCCGCGACGGACTCGGACTGCATGAAGACCATTTTGAAAACGATCCACGCGTTTGCCGACGTCCCATCAACCAAAGCGTTGGCGCTGCGCCTGTTGTACCAAGTATGGACCCTCGAATCCCGCGTGTACCCGCGGTAGGCCAATACAAACATGCTCTTAACGGCAGATTTCGACCCATCAATCGGCTATGGACATCAATCACACCTGGGTTTGGGTAGATTGGAAGAGATGCTCGCGACAAGTACGACTTCGAACGACGAAGCGGACGTCGAGTGGCAAGTGTGCCAACTCTACACGATCCTGCAGCTGTGTCAAGTCCGTGGAGACCTCGGCCTCAACTTTATCGCGACGATCCAGCAGTCGTTGGAGCATGCGCTGCCGTCCGTCGCGGCGATGGCCGTCGCATGTGTCCGCGCGCTGTGTGTCGGCGACTGCTTGGACTTTGCCGCCGCGTGCAAGATCCTCGCCACAAAACAGCGCAAAAAAAAGGTACGGCAAAGTCGACGCGATGCACTGCATATGTATATATATGTATACATGAAACATATCTACCCTTTGAATATTAAATTAGGATACGTTGGAACTAATCAACACTGCAGAGATTATATATATATAAATGTATACTTGAGACACATTTCTCCATGCATGTATATGTATATATATATTTATATATAACGTTAGATATAAATATATATATGTATGTATATATTGAAGGCTATTCAATAGATATGGGCTGTATATAAACATATATGATATATACTAGTATATAGATAGATAGATATTGTATGGTGATTATATCTGACCTAACAGGTAGAACGTGGTTGTTGTTTATGGAGTAGATTGCATGCATGGACCACCCATTGTACCAAGAAGAATTGTGTCATTTGTATGGCGCGGGTGGGTCGATGGTGTCGGGAAAGCCGCCCTTCTTGGACCAGCTGTGGGCGTTCGCCACCGCCGTGCATCCGTCCGTGCGCCTCGCGGCCGTGGAGGCGCTGGCGCAGTTCCCCTTGCACTGGATCGGCCTCAAAGCAGAGTCCGCCGCGGATCTGAACGCCGCGCCTTCCGAGGCGGAGGACGCCGAAGTCGAACAAGCGATCGACCGCCTCCTCCTAGTCATGACAGATGAAGTAGACCCGGACGTCCGACGGGCCATCGACCGCCTCGTGGAGGTAACTATGACATGTCCCCTAGTGTCCTTCTTGCTGACTAATGTGTGGTTGTGAAGGATCTAGTGAAAATGCTACATCCGTGTTGATATGTGGGTTTGCTGTTCTTATACTTTTTTCTATTACGTGCTAGTCAGGTGTATGGTGGTGTAAACAACCGATAGTATGCGACTCCGCAAGATACATATATATTGTAAACCACCGATTGTATTCGATTCCTTAATATATGTATATATATAATGGTATTTTACAAAGTATATATTCCTTCAACTTTATATAGATATGTAGATATTACTTTTAACTTTGTAACGACAAAGTACCTTTATATTATTCCTTCAATCGCATTTTCATGTTTCATGGGGAGCCAGCGATGCTGTGATTTGTGGCAGCCCCATGCATCCAGTTGATGAGATTAGTGTCCATGTGGGCGATGATATACTGTTGATATATTGTGTTCCGTAGTATATATATATCAAGGCGTTATCGTTTGATATTGGGTTGATATGTTGATAGCGAGTGGGTCAAGACGAAGCCAAGCTGCCGCGGAAGCGCTTTGTGGCGGAGCGGACGTCTACGGGGGCGACGCGGGAGATGCGCAACCTGCTGCCGACCCATTCCCATCTCCGTGCCCTGTACACGGACACGGTGCCGCGGATGCTGCGGCAGGCGTTGGCGGGTGCCGTGCTCACGTCGTTTGTGAGTCCGACAGTCGACGACAGCGTCCGCAAGCGCAAGGACAAACTCATCAAGCACATGCAGGTGATGTGGGAGGACGCGACGGGGCTCAAGTCGCAGCTGCGGGAGGACGCGGGCACGAGCGAGTGCAATGCCGAGTGGCCGCTGCAGCTGGCGCTTGTGGTCGGGTGGGAGCAGTTTACGGCCCAATACCTTTCCCTTCGTCACGAGTTGGACGACGCTCTGCGACCAGGTGCTTCAGACGATAATGATCGAGGGATTGAAAGGCTGGCGGTGGACCTCGTCGCACAAGTTGCCGACGCTTCGTCGCCGTCGTCATCCCCGAACGACCTCTTGATGCTGGGGGTGCTGGCGCGGCGGCTGCCGTCCGAGCTGCATGTGCTGTCGAATCGCATCGTGGAAGTGCTGCTTCGATCGCTCAGGTTATCGCTGGTCAAGTCGTCAGATGGGCAAGCCGCGTCTGCCGTCGACGGACCCCACAACGCGATCGTGGCGCTAGGACTGGCCGCCCAGGGCGCATTGGGGTTGCATGAACACCGAGTGGAAGAAATCGCAGACAAACTGGTTGGAATGTTGAGAAGTCCAGACGACGCGGCACTGGCGCCGGCGTGCCTCTTGGCGCTGGGGCATGTCGTGCAGTCGCTCATGGTCAAGCAAATCGCGCCCGAGCTAATGCGCCGGTTGTTTGCGACGCTGGTGCGTCACTTGGTGGAGGCCACCGTCGTCGTCGGGGGGGAGGAGGTGGACATTTCAACGGATTTAAACGTGATTCCAAACAACATAACGGATTTGGCGAGTCGATCCAACCCGAACAAGGCCAAGATATCGGCCGCCGTGACTGCCCTCGCGCTGGCAAGCGAAGGCTGTATGGTGGCACAGCAGCCGCAGTGGCTCATGGGCTTACGAGAGCTGCTCCTTGCGCTGTACGCCAAGGGGTTCTCCGAGGTCCTCACAGCCCTTCCCGTCGTGTTGTTGCAGTGTTTGCAGTTTGACTTGATCGGGTGGAATCAAGTCGACTCGTTTGTCGACTTGTGCGTCGCGGGGCTGGACGACCCAGAAGCGTTGGTGGCGCTGCCGTACTTGCTCTGCCGGACGCAACCGCTGGGCCACGTCGTCACATCCCCCGACGTGGCTTCTCGGAAGCTACTCACGCGTCTCATGGACGTGGCCACCGACCCGTCGCGGCAGTTTACGGCCACCGCGAGAGCCTATGCGACGCTGGGGCTGGCCAACTTGTTGGGCGTTGGGCTCGCCATCGATGTCCGGCCGACGTCGTGGAAAGGTACGTACTTAGACCAAACTTCTACAAATATGGTCCTTTTACTCCAAATTTGGACGACTTTTGTGCGGATTCTTTGCAAAATCTATCGATCGATCGTTATTCTTTGTACTGACTTTTGTCAAAATCGTCCAGTGTCACACGAATTTCATTCACACACTAAGTCGGTGTTGCATTGGTCGAAGAAGGGGGAGTATTTGATTGGCCACTTGAATTGTGTTGTGGGTTTTGATTGGTCGATCGATTGTCTGCCGATTTGATGCAGCTGGTCCTTCGATTGAGCTCCCCCAACTCCAATTTCGAATATATCGACTTGACAATATATATATATATATATATATATATATATATATCGTCAACATGCACTGGCCTTGTTGACAAGGGGGGTGTAGGAATGTTGGTCTCAAGAGTCGACGCAGAGAAAGCCATCGCGTGCGTCACCAGTTTGACGAGCTTGTGCCCCATCCAACGTGTCCGGATCTACGCCGCGTGGGCGCTGGGGACCATCGCTTCCGTCGGAACTTCAGGGGATGCGTTTCAGCTTAAAAATGCAGGTACACCCTGTTTCAAATCTAGTAGTTAGGAGTGCAATTGTGTGTATGGAATTGATATTTTCCGATACATATATATATATATATGAAGTACACATGTGACTGGGGCAGGCATGGACGCGGGACTGCAATTGCCACCGTCGTCAATTACGTACAAATTGCTGGATCGCCTGCGCCAGGTCAAGCAATTCTCGGCGTTAGATGCCAACTGGGTCGCCAGTACCCTCACGGGGCTCGCGGCGTGCCAGATCCCGACCTTCCATTATGCGACGCTGGTCCAGCGACTGTTGAAGGCGGGGCTCGGCGATGACGTGGCGCTGTCGGTGGTATCCTTTGCCTTCCGCCACTGTGTCCAAGACCCGTCGCTGCTCAGTTTTGTGCTGGAAATGACCAGCCCACCCCGGTTTCAGCACCTCTCGCCGGCGCTCCAAGCGTCGTTCGTCCGCCAAGTACCCGCGCTGGCCAAGCTCGTGCCCCCGACCCAACTGCACACGATTCTGTTAGCTATTCTTGTCGCCATCCCACGCTGTCGTCGTCATGCCGGCGACGACTCGCGTCGTCTGTTCGAGTTGATGCTCGAGGTCATTCCCGCCTGCGCGTCGGCGGCTGCGTCGCCCGCGGCGACCGCTGTCTGCACCGACATGCTCTTGGACGACGTATTTCCGCAACTCATTGCAGCAACTACGTCAGAAACGATGTCGTTGCTGCCACTGTGTCGAGTGTTCACCGTGGCCGTCTTCAAAGTAGATCCAAAGCAGCAGCAGGCCAAAAGACGCTTTATCGACTTGTTGCGGCTCCACCAACAACCGGACCATGCCGCGGAGGATGTCGCCGACGGCGTCGCCGCCTGCGTGTGTCTGTTGGAACTGTTTCGTCTCGGGGGGGTGGAACCCAAAGAACTCCGCGGGGCGGTGCTGCCCTACTTGGCCAGCTGTGCCACGTCATCGCGTTCCTTGATTCCCGTCGAGACCCTCGTGCTGCACGCCGCCGCGAGCCTCGGCCAGTTGCAACCAAACGATCAGCTTCTGTGGCTGCTCGACTTGGTCAATTGGATCGGACTCAAACTGTCGTCGACCCAAACCCCCTCGAGTGGCTTGCTGCTGGTGCTGCTATTGGGCGCCCTCTGCGTCCGGTGGAGCCCCGTCGCGGCTACGCAGGCGCAGTGGCTGTGGCTAAGCAACCCCGACCAAGTGCCGTTCGTGGCGAATGTGCTGCCGGCCGCATTTGCGCAAGTTCTGGTCAAACTCCACGCCCAAGTGGACGCCCACGCCGCGCGCGACCTCGTCTCGCAGTTGCTCGTGCTCGTGCAGCAGCGCCCCCAGCAACAAACTGACACGTGCTCGGTCCACGAAGCCATGGTCGTGTATGCTTATGTCGTCCCCCAGACGCAGCTTTGTGTCGACGCAGCCAAGTTTATCGACCATTTCTGCTCCTAACAAGTATGAATACAGTACTACTGTACCACGAAGAACGAATGCAAGATACTGCTGTGGCTTTGCTTTTGCACATATATGTCACCGTAAGTCAATAGGCAAAGTGCACACACGACAAATGGATAACGTGTCGACAAGTGGTTGAATGTGCCATCTAACTACAGTACTACTGTATTCGTCACCTTTTCGAGTGAAGATGGCAAACAACAGTACCCCATCGTATGACGTTATCTTCATGTGCAATTTGCAGTCGACATGATGATACCATGTACTCGTGCCTTGTCCATGTTCGAGGTACTAGTATTACTATACGTCGTATTAGTAGTATTTGCGTGCTATTGACCAGTCCACCTACTAGTACTAACAGGTACTACGTAGTAGTAATTAGTACTAACGTTACTTGACAGGACATTCTTGGACATACTAGTTGTATATATCTTTTTATTCAAAATAAATTTATTCCAACTTATAAAAAACATTTATTGAATATTTAAGAAAGAGGTTATATTAAATTAATAGTGGCTTTTTTATTTTTAAGTAAAAAATTTTTTTATAAAAGTAAAAATATAAGCAACTAGAATCGGTTCAATCTCATATATTTCGTCGTGGTCATCCATATGTGACATGGGGGGGGGCGGTCGGCCGTTCGTAGTTGTTGTCGTGCTGTGTGGCTGTCTTGACGAGGCGCAGGGCGGGGGTGGGGGTGGTGGACGCCACCACGACGCAGTAGTGCGCTTGTAGCAAATGGTACTCTTCGACTTCGTCAAACATTTCCAATCGCTCCTTCCTATATATTTATAACCACAACCACTGTATAGAAGGTCGTCCTACTGTTTGCGTTCCACGGGGTCGAGAAAGTCATAGTACATTTGGTTCATGTCCCAGCACTCGACATGGGTAAAACCCGCGGCGTGGAAGCGGCGGCGCTGGTCCTCGACGTCGGGGTACCTACATAAACATGGTTGGCAACATCATAAAGGTATTATGAATATGCTGGTTGGTGTCCGTACGTGGAGATGCTCTTGAGGTCGCAGCCCCGCATGTGGATGTTGGTCACCATAGTCTGCCCAAAGGCATCGTTCGGGCGTATCTGCTCATATACGATAAACGTTGCGTCGGCAAATGCAGCGCCAAACCACCCGATCAGGGGCGCAGAGTCCGCGGGGTCCATGTAGCACATGACACATTCCGACAAGATCTACATGAAGGGTAGTGGAACACGAAGAAGCATGGAGGGAAAGAATGGCTTGCGGGATGGATATATGTATTACGTACCAGTGTGGGAACGGAAGGCTGAATGCCGGCGGCGTGCAATTTGGCTTGGACTGTCGAAAGGTTCCGCAAGTCACATGCGAGGAGAGCATACCCGTGGGCCTTGAGTTCCATGTCGTTGTTGGTTTCCACGGCGCCGAAGACGTCGGACAGGGCCTTATGTCGCCGGCAAAGACGAACCTTGGACCTCGTGATGGCGGGGAAGTCGAGCTCGATGTACAACGTGCGGTCCAACGACACACTGTCACGGGGCCGCGATTTGAGACGAAAGTACATGGAATCCTGGCCCGCACCCAGCACGATGATTTGTCGCGTGTACGGAAGCTGCTGCGCTGGACTGTCCCCACTAGAGGACGTGGGAGATGTCGACGCGAGGAACCGGTGGAGAAGCACTTCAATGCTTCGCACGCGTGCATAATACCCTCGATTGATAATGGGCATCTTCCTGTTGGGCTTGGCGAAAATGTGCGCAAACGAATCTTCCCAATAGCCAAGTTGCACGGCGGATAGCTTGCACGATGCCGCATCAGACGCCGTGTCCTGCACGTGCATGTCATTCTCCGTCGCATCCATCGCACGACCGGGAATGATATCGATATATAGAGGTGAGTCCGCTATAAGATATCGAATGTGGAGGGCTTTCAAACACTATACCGTACAGTTTACAACGATTGAACAAGCAAAAATATATCATTTTGTTTTGCAAGTTGATTCAAATATAAATTGGAGAAAATGTCTGAATATTTGGCACCCCTTCGCATCTGATTGGTTGAAAACGTATCCATCAATTCGAATTTGTGATTGGTGGAACGGTTGGCGCCGGTGGTTGGCTCCAAGTTGAAAGCAACGAGCATTATTGAACCATGGCCGCCCCGCTTGCGTTGAGTTCTGCATGGACTTCTCGAGGAGATTCGCGCATACTCGGTGCGCATGCATGTTCAGGTCCGACTCCTGGCCTCATTTTGGTCACCACATCAGACCAGGTTGCTCTGCTCAACACGGCCAAATCCACTTTTCAAGGCAACGCCGCCGTTGTGCACAGCTGGGAGTATCGTAGCGGGAGTGCCCAGGCACTGTCACTTATCGCTGTCCAGCATCCAACCAAGCACGATCTGTTCTTTGGTATTCGTGGCAAAGGCAAGACTGAATTCGTCTCGTGGTCGTCGGCCACGGAACGCATCAACGACGTGCCCGCCCGCACGCTTCCTTTCTCAGTCCACGCCCTGCTCGTCAACACCCATCTCGACGGTTGCGTGGTCGTAGGTACAAATGGCGCGGTGTCCATCGTGACGGATGCCTCCATCTCTCCATTGGTTGTGGCCACGAAGCCTGCATCGACGACGGTCGTGTTTGTGCACCTCGCCCACGACAACACCCACCAACTCCACCTCACACTCGTGTTCAAGGCCGCCACCGGCTCGACCTACACTGCGGCATCGTATACTTTGTCACAGGACCATGACGATTCGGCTCCCGTGACCATCGCGTCCACTGGCCCCCGTCACGACGTCACTCCGCCCTCGGCTACATCGACGTTGGTGTCGACTATCGTACAAGACCCCCACACGTTGTCTCTATTTTGGTCCACTGGTGAGTGGCAGACGGTGGCGCTGCACGCGTCGCCTGCCACTGCAATCAAGCACGTGGCGTCGTTGTCCGTTCTCCCCACAACCGCCACCACCACCACCTCTCAAGAACAAGGAAGCAACAAGAAGAAGCGAAAGGTCTCTGCCGAGTCGAACGCTGTCACATACTTTGCCTCGTCCGTGTCTTCTAAGTCGCTAGTGGTCGGGTCGCCCTCGTCCCTTTCCGTGTGGAACAGCCAATACGTGGTCGAAATGGCTAAACATTCCATCGTGTCGTCGGCTCCTGTGCCGACAAACCTGCTGGCCCTTGTGGTGCTGCCGCAAACGTCTCACATTGCGTACATCTCGGAGCGCGCAGTCCAGGTGGCGGTCGTGCCCACTGCTCCCGCGACGCTGGCCTCGGTGCTGGGCAAAGGCGCATCCTCCCAACAGCCCCCGCTCGTCCTATCGACATTTGTGCCGTCCAACCCGGCCGAAGTGACGGCGGTCATGTCCTCGCTGGACCTGTCCACGTGGCAGTCGACGATGCTCGGGGAAAACGCGGCGCAGGTCGACGTGCTGGCCACCCTCACGGCGCCCGCGTTGACGCGCGAGGAGTTCCTAAAGACGTTCTACGGGTACGTGTACTTCAAGACCAAGCGAAAGCTGCGGGTGGCGGTGCTGTCTCCGCAGTTTGTGGTGCAAGTCGCCTCGCGCATCGTCCACTCCCCCGAGCTCGCGTTGTGGGCCGAGCTATCGCTGCTGCTGTCCACCAAACACTTGTGCAGCCGGTCGATTCCATCGCTCGTTCCCACGGCGATGGCGCTCAAGCAGTTTGGCTTGCTTGAGGACTGCTTGGTGCACCTGTCGGACGTCGACGAGGTGCTGGCCATCCGGATATGCAAGTTTATCCTTCGCGAAGCCTCCCCTTCGTCGGTGGCGGCGTTCCAGAGTCAGCACGCCAAGGGCTCGACGTCGGGCGTCACCACCGCCAGCCAATTTGTCGAGCATTTCCTCAGTCTTGTGGTGGCCCTGCCAAAGGCCGACGTGTTCCTGCAAACTGCCATGCAAGCTTTCACTGTGCCCGAGGTGCTGGCGTTGCTGGCGTGCCTCAAGAAATGGTACCGCCAGCGCGCCGCGCCCGACTCACTCCATCACATTGTCGAGTGGATGGGGCTCCTCCTGGACGTGCATTACACGGCGCTCGTGGTCGAAAGCGACTCGTCGCCGTACATTGTGACTGTGCTCAAGGACCTGCAGGCGCTGCTGCTGTCGCACGTCGACGCGTGCCATCACATGGCAGACATTCACGGCGAACTGGACCAGTTCCTCACGAGCGCGCATTTGCCCCAGACGGCAGCGACCTTGCCCGATTATGCCGTCGACGTGCTGCTCCTTTAACCCTAATTGACGTACATTACACATTTGAGAATAGTACAGTCACATGTACTAGTTAGTCTACATACACAGACAAGATGTTGGCAGCAAGCACCAGAAATGGCGCTGGTTGCCTTTGGTTGGCATAACGTTAAGTGGGCTGCGCAGAGGACTCACACTAACGTTCCAGTATGTATCGCCTAATTAACAGTGTAAGCTGCCCATGTTGACGGCTACAAATATAGGTAGGTTGACGTACAGTACCAGTAGTCTAACTTCATATATGTCCCTTCATCATGAAGATCCACGCCCTATCAAGGGTAACGTTACTAGGATGTTTGGACGCTTGTAAACTTGACACTTATCGTCGCAACTACTGTATGCAATTCCTCACGTCATTAATCTACATGACCCCCCACGACACTTTGATCAAGTTGTTAGACATGAGCTAGCAGGATACAAAACTTGTTCCCATGGCAAGTGTCAGAATATATCACGCATGCGAAGTGTCTCCATATGTAGCTCGAAGTCAAGAGGCTCTACCACTTGCACAATCAAACTGTAAAGGGAATGTATGGTGGTAGGAACATTGAGGCAGTGTTATGCGATATGAAGACCAAGGCTTATGTAAGGTCTTCATAGCTTATGTGTTGTGTGGTTGTGTGTGCTGCTGGGCAAGGATGTGAGGGGTTTGGAATGATGTAGCCTTGGCTTTCATTCCTGGTTTTACCTCAAACTGAGCTCTACCTTTGTGTGCGTGTTCTACCCCCTGCCCCCACCCCCCGGCTTATTCAACACAAGTGTTGGCGGCACTCAACCTCCCCGCGTTTGTCCATCTTCGCACCCATGCAATCCATAGCGCCCCACCACTTGCATGTGTTAAGCATACCAATAGCATTTATTCTGAGCCAGCCCCCCCTGCCAAACCACACCGCCAACGCAAATACTAGTGTATGTAAGTATTGGACTTATTCCATTGGATCACATGTAAACGAAACCCGTCTACGCAATCATGAATCGCGAATCGCTCAGGATTTTCACTTCCAAGCTCATCGATTGGACTTCTCGTTTCCTGGCGTCGTACAAGTGGATGTTGCCATCTACGTCTTGCGCGACAATGCACAGGTCGTTGTGGATTGCCTTGCCGTCGTCGTCTTCGTTGGCGGGTTCGACCGTGCCCAAGTTGTCCTCGTGCACAGCTTTGAGTGCATGGTGCAGCGCGTCCGTCCCGACCACGCGATACGACGACCCCTTCCCGCCGCCGCTCGTATCCGTCACCGTCACCTTGTTTCGATGCCCACAGATCCGTTCGCCGTTTCCAGTTTCAGACACGTTCGTAACCGTGTACCCGCTGCTGTGTATGCCAAGGGACTTGGTCATCATCGCGCGGACGTGTTTTGGGTTCTCTGGCAGCCCAAAGCACAACGTGTGACACATGAGGAACCACTGGACGGTGCACAAAGCGCGCGTCTGCACCACCACCGCCTGGTTCTTGTAGTTGTCCAACTCGTGAAAGGCATAGCACATTTCACACAGAATGGACGACGAGTTAAACATGGCTTGGCGTCCGAGCGAGTTTTGCGCGAGGCGGCGCCACATGCTGCGGTTCCAGACTCGATCAAGGCCGAGCATCAACAACAAATTGAGCACCATGACCACCATCATGCTCGGGAACGATCGGACAAACCACGAGTCGGAAAAGTCGATGCGGATGCCGTCGAGGTCGGATGTCGTCGACGACAGCGTCGTGCGGTCCGTGTTGCCGTAATCAATGTACTGCGCGCGTTTCATGACGAACACCGCGCCGAGGTAGATGTACGTGACCGAGCTAAAGTTGAAAAACCCGACCACTGTCTTCGACCCGCTGTACCGGGTCAGGCTCGCAAAGTTGAACACGACCTTGGCGGCTTAGACGACAAAGCAGTTGATGCATAGCCATCGAAATTGCATCGACATCATTTGGATGTCGATCCACGGGTTGTCGCCTTCAATATTCCACGTGTGCACGAGCCGCGCGAAGCACATGGAGTTTTTCTCGTCTAGAATCACGGCCACGACGTACACGACGACGAAGAAGTCGCTGTTGAGGCAAAAGTTGGAAAACGTAAACGTGTGGCTGCTGTAACGGTACAGCGGCGGCGCCAGCGTGTGCGTGGCGCGCTTCCAGAACGTCGACATGGTCGTGGCTTCGGTCCACCGGGTGGTCTTTTTGCTCGTGGCGAACCCCGCCAGAGCAAACATGAGCGCGATCGCGCGGAGGTAGAGCGACGCCCCCGTCGCGGACGACCGCTCAAGGATCTTCCCCAGCATATGGTACTCGCCCCAGTATGCGGTGCTGGACGAGACCACGAGCGACTGCGACGCCATGTCCACGTGGTACACGATCTTGCACACGTCCAGGCCGAGCTCGACAATCGGGTTGCAGCCAGAGCAAAACGACCGCGGCGCGAACCGATACATGGAGATGTTGGCCTCCACCGTCACGCCAGGGGGGGGATGGCCACGGACGTCGTGAGGCGCATGTCCACGTCCATGCGTGCGGGAATGAACCCGAGGTACGCGAGCGTCGTGTGGTTGGCGTCGGGGGGCGGGGGGAGTTCGTCGGCCGTGAAGTACGTGTCGAGGGTGTTGCCGCGGATGAGCTGCATCCGGTTGAACACGACGCCGAGACGCATCGTGGGGGCGTTCAGAGGCGGCAGCGGGTACGTCTGGACGAGTGTGCCGCAAATGTTGTTGGTGTCGCTGTCGATTAAGTGCGCGCCCGCGGTGAGGACGTAGTCTGTCGTGTCGCGAATGTAGGACGAATCCAGCACGTAGCTGACCATGAACTGGCCAACTTCGGACAACGACTCGAGGTTGGAGTACGTGGGGAACTGAAAGTGCTGCGCGAGAAGTTCGGGTGACGGGATGTTGATCAACGGCGTGAGGAGGTAGTTGGCGTTTCCGATATAGTTGATCACTTCCCAGTTGTTCATGACCACGTCAAAGCACACAAAGAACACACTCATGGTACTCAGCGCCCGTTGAAAGTACGTGGACCCCCACGACAGGTACAGTGCATACTGCTCGAACGTTTGGCCCATGACAAAGCGGCCGCTTGCCAGTCGATTGCACACACGTGACACAAACTCGAGTGAAGCAACACTACTACTTACGCCAACAATCACACGACGATGGTGCTGTCGGTTACTACATTCATTTTGAAACCGTCGATCAGAAACTAAGGTGGCACACTCGAAACGACCAAGTACAAACAGGGTGCCAAAGGTGCCCCTCATCGATCCAGCCAGCAACACCTTCGGCGCAAGTAATCTCTGGGACAAGTGAAACTACCCGCAGTGGCCGAAACGGTGCAGTCCCGAAATATATATATATATATATATATAATACTGTCGTATTAATATGTATATATGCTATAATCGACCAAGTTATGCACTGCATGCGATTGTGTTCCCCTTGTATGTTGCACGCATCAACTAAAAACGTTAGTAAAATTGTAACTACTCCGGAGTAAACGCGGAAAAGTGATATGTTTGGTTTGTAAATTGAGTCTATAAATAGAATTGTCATGGCCGTTCAACTCCAACACGCATGGGGCTAATATGTAAGGGGCTATATATAGGGGCTGGTCGCGACCCTAAAGGCGTGGCGAGAGGTTTATGACACTTTTGTATGTGTGGGTTCATTGTGGGAATATATATATATATATATATATATAAAGATATAACACGGGGTTGAAGGGGGAGCTGTTTTCCAATGTGCGCATACTAGTAGTTATTTTGCGATGTGGCCTCCGATGAAAGGGATATTGTAGGTTTTCGGACCACTTTCCTGTACATAACTACGCAGTAGTGTGGTGTACGAGTGTGTCATCAGGTTTTAAGAGTTACTACGTAGTACTACTACTACTCCTTGTAGTGGGGGGCTCATAGTCGAGGTACCGCCCCAGCAATTCGAAGCACCCAGCCGCTGACGGAGTCATGATGCCGCTCGATCTACAGATCGACATACCATCGAGTTAGCCAAAGCATGGTGATGCATGTAAACCTCGAGGTCAAGGCAGCCTGGAGCGGTTGAAAGATCAGCTTGGTCGTCTCATACTGGTCCACGGGCCCTTGCGCATACCACGCAGCGATGGCAGAAGCGTCCAGATTGCACCGCACGACAAATGCTAGAAAACATGAAAAAATATTCAAAAATCGATAAAATTGAATGTACAAAGTGAAGACATGTGTTTTCACAGGATGCAGATCACAATGATAGGACGATCGATGGTGGAGGTTAGCACGTTACCAAAGCTTGGGGTTGCGGCTTCTCCTTGCAGCGTCACACCGAGCAGCAGCGGGGGCGACAGCGTCGACGACGGGACGTTCACCTCCTCTACGATCTCGACCGCGATCGAGTCGAAGAACTCGGCCGCGCATCGCCGGTTGGTGGCGTCGTCGGGCTCCACAGGCAGGGACGACCAGTCAATGCCAATGTGCTAGGGCAACTCTGTCAGCATGACAAGGATGGCATTCTTGTTGCGCGCGAAATGGATCACCTCGGGTTCGGGATGTCCGCCTGGCACGTCGAGCATGTTGGGGTACGCCCCGACGACGGAGCTTCGCTTCAGGAAGCAAACCTTGTCGTCTGCTGTCAAAAGGGCTACATAATGGTTCGATCAGAATACACCAAGGAGAGTTGTAGTTACCGCCGGCGACGCCAATCTTGTTGGACAAGTAGATGGTGGTGTCTTGGTTGGGAGGTGTTGCAAGCGAGCTGACGACGTCGCATCGCGAGCAAAGGCCCAGATATGTCTTGTAGTCTGTAAGCCCCCACTCCATATGAAGGCTTGTGGGCGTCGCAGTGAATGCTGCGAGCCTGAACTTGGTGCCGTTGAAGAGGCGAGGGTTGTTCGCGAGTTTGGCTGCCCATACGTCGTGGATGCTCTGTTCCAGAGCCCCAGATGGATGGACACGGCGGTTGTGCACGGAAGATAGTTCAATATTCACTTGGGAACGCGTGTACGCCGCCCCGGAAGTCGCATCAAGGAACGACACACACCGCCGCCGCATGACTGTGGTGGAATCCGGAGTTTGCATTTGACATTTGAGCTTGGAGGCATTTGATTGGTTCAAAATACAATCATCCTTTGCGTGGATTGGCAGAAATGCTACCAATTCCACGCAGCCCCTCACATTTGAAATCAATCCACCATGGGACTTTCAGAGCACGCCGTAAAGAAAATGACGGTAGGCTGGACATGTGAAGGATGAAGTACGTCCTTGAGACCTGAGGATGTGTGTCATGTAGGTTAAGCAGCTGCACGATGAGCTTGCAAAGCGCGACCTCGACAAGAAGGGAGCCAAGGTAATGTCGACGTGTCGCTATGTCGGTAGTCCTGTCCACCGTGATTGTAGGCAGCTCTACAAGCGCGACTACTCAAACACTTGCAGGTACACATGCCGCATTGGTTTCCACGTACCACAAGTGCCCTCACGTGGTTGCGGTGGTCTAGTCTTCTGCCAGCGACACGCCCGTGGTGCCGCCGCCCGCTAAGGACGACGACACACAAACTGCTGCTATTGCTGAGGTCGCCACCATTTCCGACTCCACAGCCAACCCCCCCAAAGCGAAGCAACCCAATTCTTCTCATGACTCGGCAGATATTGCGTCGTCGAACACGGGTAAAGCAGTTGAGCTATCCCTTGCAATGGACGTCTTAGACTGCTCACAGATGAACCAGTTGATACCGCCAACACCTCCACGACCCCGACGGTTTCTTCTTCATCTCCCGATCCGTCCATCGAACATGCCGAGTCCAAGGCGGACTCTACCGCCATCGATGCCGACAAGCCCCTCGATGGCAAACGCCACCTTAGTCCTCCTCTCCACTCGTCCCCACGCGCCGCGAAAAAGCCAAAGCTCGATGCGACCGATAGCATTCCCGAGTCCAAGTACGTCCATGGACATGACGACAGCATCCAGCCCACCGCCGCATTCTCCCTAGGGTTTCCCCCACACCCACCATCCGCATCGACAATTTTATCCGACCGTTTACACTCAACGCGGTCAAGGTACGACCATCACTCTGTGGAAGAGTGTGGGTCTCAGAATGTTGGTAGGCCTTTGTGCAAGTCGACGCCTCGTTTGTCGACGACGGGTTTTGGATGGATGCGATCAAAACGCACTGCTACGTCACGTACGCCACGACCGACGCGGTACGATATATATATATTGGTATATTTGCGATATATATATATTTGTGGTAGGCCATCGACGCGCGCAGTCGCATTTACGGCACCACGTGGCCTGAACTCAGCGGTCGCCAGCTCACCGTCGACTTTTCAACCGACACGGCCGCTGACATTGCAGTAAGGAAATATATATAACACGTTCAGTATATATATTTATTATATATATAACACGTTCAGTATATATATTTATTATATATATACAATTTACGCATATATATATATATCGCTATATATGTACACGTATATATATATCCCTTTCAGAGTTAACAACCCCACAGGCCCAGCAAAAAGCCGCGACGACGGCGGCGGCCACCCCCGTGCCGACGGCATCCGGTCGAAGCAACCGGCGGGAGGCGGCCGATTCCTCCAAGGCAAAGGACACCACCAAGGTCCTCACCAAGCGTGCGTATATATAAAAATCTCTCTCTATATATATATATACTTCGAAGTATATATATATATATATAATACATCACAATGGTTTGTGTGTTGCGTACTAGCACCCGTGACCGCGGACGACCTGTTTTGCAAAACCAAGGCGGTGCCGTCCTTGTTCTACCTGCCCGTGTCCGACGACCTCGTCGCCCGCCGCCGCGCCAACGTCGAGCGCAAAAAGCTCGGCCTCATACGCCCCCGCCCCGGACGCAGCTCGCGCCGCTACCGCCACCGCCGCCGCGGCGGCAATCGGTCGTCGGGCGGGGGGGGTCCTCTAGTCCAAGCCTAAGCCATGTCCCTACTCTCTAACTGCTGGTACCCAAATACCCCCAACCACCAAACCACCAAATCGATGGAAAGAGAGCCCGCCGCCACATAAACACACACACATGTTGTAGTTTGTATACATATACATATATATATATATATTGTTTGTGATAAATACGACGATTGATGGGGAATGGGGGGGATGGGGGGATTGATGGGGGGGATGGGGGGATCGATGGGGGGCCACTAAAACTCAAACCCGATCGCATCGAGCATGTCCATTTCGAAGATCAACTTGACTTCGGCAATCTGCGCCAAGCACGACGCCGTGTGCGGGCAGTACTGCTGGATCACGCGGCGCAGCACGTCGCACGCGTCCACCACCTGCGCGCATGTCACGGGGTTGATTTCGTGGCCGTCCTCGGCACTGCCACCGCCACCGCCGCCATCGCCCTCGTCCGCCGTCGCCGCCACTTCGTCACCAAAGATGGCCGCATACTGCATGTGCGTGTTAAACTAACTGGTAGAGCACTTCTAGTAGACATATACCATCTTGTGCTGCTGGTGGTACAGCCAGTCGTATATAAAGTCCTTGTACTTGCGACACAGCATCTCCCCCAGGGCGACTTCGTCCGCAGGCGACTGCACCAGCGCCACCAAATGCACCAGCGTAAATGACAGCTAGCCATATCATGTAATATAATTAATATATCCCATTGTATGTGATTTCAACGAGATAGGCAACAGACAGAATGAATAGCAGATATATGTCCAAAGAGCTACTGTACGTATACATAGATTAAATATATATATATAGATAATACGACTGGACAATATATATCTAACGAGCGATGGGTTATACTTCGGGAAGTATATATATCATGCGAACGGACAACATATACAAAAAAAGCGAGGGATTGTATATATAATATATATGTATATATATTTGGGGTACCTGGAGTTCCAGCTGCGCCTTGTACTTGTACTCGCAAATGTCGGTCAAGTCCACAGCCGCATCGAGGGCGTCCAAAATTGTTTGCAAAATCCCATAGAAAAAAACCCCGTATGACGCCCGCGCACACGAAATGCGCAGCGCCATCGCCGCACTGATGCGCACCTAATATCAATAATATATTATATATACATATATAAATAGACATAATAATCGTATTTCGAGCACAATGCATATATGGTATGGCTGTCAAGATATATATTAAATATACATATATAGAAAATAGAACATATATATAACATAGACATAATAATCGTATTTCGAGCACAATGCATATATGGTATGGCTGTCAAGATATATTTAAACATAGATATAAAATCGTTTTGCATCCATGTCTCACGGATGTCAAGATAGAACATACTACGAAGTATATATATATATCATTAAAAATAGATATAAAATCGTATACTATCCTCAAGCTATATATATATAATACAAACAAGACCCAAACTTGCAATACTCAGCAAACCCCCAGTCATGCATACAGTTGATATGGATGTAAATATATATGTATACATATTTCTCTGTACTTTGAAATTGTCTTGCTGGGCGATGGCCGTGGTGAGGGCCGTAAACACGGCGGGGGTCCACGACACGGATGCCAGGGGCAGCTCAGGGCAGTGAAATACTTTGGCCATGGCATGGCACGCATTCCACCGCACCTACACACCACATATAAATATACATATCTTCCGAGTTCTAAATAATAATAAATATATATATATATACAATCCAGTGCGTGTCATCTGTTTCCATAACGACCACCCTTTCGTACCTTGGGAGCTCCGTCCACGACCTTTTTGGCGAGGACAGTCATGGCGTCGGCCAGCAGGGTCGAGTTAGCCCCCCCGCCTTCATCTCCAGCGTTCGTCGTGAGATTGGACGAAGCAGCTTCCAAGTACTGGGGCGCCATGAGCCACCGCGCAAGCAGCCCCAGCGTCCGCACGACACTCGACGCCACCTTGTCGTTGTCTTCCACCAAGTGCAGCATGCACTGCAGCACTTGATCGATGGTCGCAGGCGGCAGCAGCCGCACCAGCCACGGACTAGAAGAAGAAAATCAACTTTTCAGGTCTAGTAACTCGGCGGCGGTACCTACCTGTCAGGGGCGTCGGGGGCGTCGGGCCCGGGGGTCGTGCAGGCGTTGCCGATGGCCCACACCACGCGCACGCGGACGTTGAGCGTCGAGTCGGCCGCCGCCTCCATGCCCATGCGCACCACCGCTCCAATAAAGTCACATGTCTGCTAACGAGGTCTTAATATCGTTTTATGCTAAACTGGAGTGACAAGGAGAAGAGAAAATGAATCCAATGGATTACAGAAGCATTCAACATATATATATATGAAGTTATTAAAAGACTCGATTGATATTGTCGATTTGATACAAATTTGGGGTGGGGGTGCAATCGAATCGCGCCGACCAAACCGATCCACAATCGATCTGATTGGTTAAATTTCATTGAGAAGGTTTTGATTGGCTAATAATTTTGAGCTCTTCTGAAGTAGCCAATCAAATCGATTTAAATTCCAACGAGAAACCACAACACAACACGAAATTTCACTCGAAACAATATATATATATATTCAGGACAAAGTAGAATCGATCGATATAGATTTGGTGACTCAACACATCAGTCTACATTTTGGGTACAAGGACAATACGACTAGTGTATTATTTATTTCATCCCAATGCAGTATCGACAACAACACCACCACAATTCGGCATCGTCCCAGCGAATATATAAATAGATATATCCATGACAAGGACAACGACGGTGGACTGGGCATATTCCCACCACAAAATGACCATCGAGTGGGCAAACTCCCAACTTGGTAGGAAGGTAGGTACCTTGAACACGGGCACGAGAGCCATCGCCCCCAGCAGTCGAAAGCCCGCCGCGCGCACCACCGGCGACGGATCGCGCGGGGTGGCCAAGAAGCACGCGTTGAACGCCGGATCCGTCGCGAAGGTCGGCCACTCGTCCGGCCGCAGCAGCGTAAAACACGCGCACACGCTGGCTCGGACGTGATGTGACGGGTCTTGGAACGCACGGAGCACGTGCGTGGATAGGAACGAGAGCTACCCTCCATCCAAACTTTAGAATTCAAAAAATGATATAAATATATAATAACTGGGTTCTAATATTATATAGAGTAGTAGTAGTGGCCGTACGTGGTGCGACGTGTGGGGGGTGTTGTCGCCCCCCTTGATGTAATTCTCCAAGATCTTGACCGCTTGCAGCCGTACGTTTTGATCGACGTCACGGAAAGCAGCGAGAAGGAACGCGGACAGGCGCGGCCAGTGGGCACTACAAATATATATATAATAAATCAATAAAAAACAGTTCAAAATCCATTTTAAATATATTTTAAATATATTTTGAAAAAACAGAGAATATAAACAATTCCACACCCATGTTTGCTAGGTAATATTTCAAAACAAGAACGAGTCAGAATAATATAAAAATATATTCGACTATAAACAAAGCAACAATGACCTAGTTAGTACCTCAAGGCGGGTGCGTAGTTCTTGGCCGTTTTCGACAACAACGACATGGCGTCGAGTCGATGCAACATATTGGTGGCCTCGCGCGGGCTAGTACTAGTACTAGTACTACTTCGGGTACTACTAGTTGAAGGATGCGTGAGACTGGCAGTGGATTTCGCCGGACTCAGCATGTCTTCGAGAAAGCGACGCGGTCGAAGGCGAAGCAACGGCGTCGCATGCAAGTGGTACAGTGGGGACTTTATCGCAGCGGTAGTGGCAGGTTGAGCCAGCCACTCCAACACACTCGCCACGGGCTCTGGTGTGCTCAGCAGAGCCGCCAGGCACGCCAACGCACTCACTCGCACCGTGTGATCTGCCCATCCATCCATTAACCCCGTACATACGGCTTATATAGTCGACTTACCTGGCGCGAATAAGGCGCCGTGCAGGTGGTGGGCCAGCGCTTGTAAAATCGCGTCCAACGACAACATCGTTGTTATAGTAGTAGTTGCCTTGTCAATCAATGCAGGGCGTTGACAACGAAGGTGATCGGCTGACTGTAACATGTTGGGATATGGGCACAACGTCGCGAGCGTGGTTAGAGTCTAAGGGCCACCAACACAAAAGTCATCATAGAAAACTAACACAAGTCTCCGTATCTTGTGGTATCTCCATGTATAATATTGTCAAATCGATATATTCGAATAGTCGAATGTGTTGGGCGAAATCGATTCAAGAACCGCCCGAGCCAATCAAATCACACGCCATGTACAATATCTGCCAATCCAAACGTTTGACCTCTCCGCAAGGGGAAAAAAACCACATATATCTTCATTTTTGTATAGCATAGTGTAAACAAAAGATGAAATAGGATCAAATCGATATCTCGAAAGATATTTAGCGAAATGTTTAGTCCAAATTTGGGTGAAATGCTCAATATTAAATTACCTTGATGGCTTGAACCAATACCGCGGCGTCGTGCTCGTGCTGCACTGTATGCAGCAGCATCACGTGCACCTGATGGACCATCTGCAGGAGCGCGCCGCCGGTGGTCGTAAAGGCCGTGGACGCGTGCTTGAAATTCTGCGACAGCGTTGCCTTGACGTTCACCAGCGGAAGCAACATGTCGAGCCAATGCAGAGTCTTCAGCCGCACTTGGTCGTACGGGTCCACGACGGCCAGCGTCAGCACAGACGGGTGGCCGTTGTACAGCACCAAGCATGGCGTGGTCGTGTCGGGCAAATACTGCGCCAATGTCGGCGTGATCAAGTGGGGAAACGCATGGAGTACGACCTCCAGCGCCCGCACAACTTCGAGCCGCAGCCGCGCCGCCAAGCCTCTAGGATGATACACCTTGCATGTCAAACACCAAATACATTTCAACGAAGCCATAGCCACAGCCATGCATGGTGGTTCGTCCGTCGCGGGAATCATCTTACATGCCGCGCTGGGAAGGATGCTTGGAGCTACAATCGGAATCGGAATCGATCAACGGCACGCGGCCGACGACCATGGCCGTGGTAGACAGCGACAGGCCACACCCTACACAACAACAACACACCCACATATTAAACATATATATACTAGTATATATATATTGTGAATTCGCTATAAACTTCCAAAATTCGCGCGACTTGTTCAATCAATATTGAATAATCACGCTCGAGTTCTGATTGGTTGAATATACTTGTTATTTCTGTAAGAGCCAATCAAATCCACTCCACATTGGATTACCCAATAGCGTCGATTTGTAATTCGATTCGGCGGCGAGATATTCGATTCGACGGGGTCTGGAAATTCGTATCGAATCCACAATAAATATATATATTCAACATATAGAAGTCAGTAAAAGCACAAAGGAGGAGAGGGATACGATGTAAGTTATAGATCATGGCGGGGTACTGTAGTGGTGGTGGTGGTGTTGGATCGACGAGATAGACTAGACGTCAACGAAACAAACCTACCCAATAGCAAGCGAAGACATTCGAGGACTTTTGACATGTGGGCCTCCACCACACTTGGACCAGCGCCGCTGGAACTGGCCGCCGTGTCAAGCTCCATGAGCCGCAACAGGCATTGCAAACTCGCGAGGCAGCTCTATCAACAACGACGTGAGATCGACAGTTTGTCTTTATATCGAGGGGACCTTGTAATGCGTGCGGTTGGTGGTCCACACGACGCGGGGCCCATCGACGTGCAGCTGCCGCGTCTGCTGCTTGAAGTTGTCCATGATTTGCTTCCACAGGTCGGCAAAATAGGGAGGCGGCGCGTCGGCCACCGCCACGAGGTGGGCCATGCACGTGGTCGCGGCGTACCGCGCGCCAACGTCGGCGCTGGATGGACTCAAGTGTGGCGTCGCCGCGACGTAGATGGAGTCGGCGAAGGCCGCGGCGGCGGCAGGCGCGTTGTCGGCCAAGAGCACCGACAGCGTCGTCAAGATTTGCTCGGCATACCTAAAACAGCATCAGTGCACTAATGTCGACATGGGGAGGTGATGGACGTACCACGAAGGGCAGTGGGAAAGGGCCGCGAGGAAGAACGGAACAAGCACGTGCAGGTGGTCGGCGGTCAACACCAGTTTGTCCTTGCAGCAATGGCGCACCACCGACGTAAACTCGGACACGAGCAGTTCTGACTTTGGCGGCAGCACTTGGGCAAGAGCCATCAACGTTGACCCGACCTCGTCCGTGCGCAGTCGCACTGGCGGCATGGGCAACGTCATGATCTGGGCCAAGATCGCATCGAGCTCTGCGCTTGAGAGCACGGCCGCATTATCCTTGCGCAGACGTAAGCGGATACTCTCCCACGCGCGTGTGGACGACAAAGACGCCCGATTTGCTTGCCACATGCCGAGACGAGTGTTGTTGTGACGGCGGCGGTGGCAATCGAGTGGGAAGTGGCGCCAACGGGCAGTTCTCGCGTCGAGGTTGTCAAGCGCAGCAATCCTGGCGAGACATCCGGATAATTCAGAAGATCCGGATTGTCGGTCGTATAAAATCCCAGAGGTGCATCAATTTTACTAATTAATCGAACCAAAGGATCATCATCATGGCAACTCCACTCGCCGATGCGGTGATCGTGGGGTACTGCGATCTCTCGGCGGCGGGACTTCGACTGCTGCACCATGTGTCCATTGACGACACGCATGTCGTCGAGGAGACGGTGTATGTACACGGGTTGCCGCTTCTCGTCCGCAACTTTGTCCACCCCGACACCAAACGGCCGCACGTGTCAATCCTTGTGGTGCCCGAACCCGTCGCCACCGATGATTGTACGTTGTTTTGTGCTGAAATCGTCGACTTGCTTCAAGGAAGCAAGCAAGTCCTCGTCTTGAGCTCCCTCAACCTCCCCATGTCATCGGACCAAGAGAAGTGTGTGTACTGGTCGCAAGTCCATGCCACAACTCCGTTGAACCTCCCCGACTTGGACTTCGAGCCCATTCCCGAAAACAGTCGATGGACCATCAAAGATCAATTCCTCAGCACCCTCCTGCACTTTCTTCATGTGGAGTACCTCCCCGTCACCCTCGTCGTCGTGCGCGGGTACAAGTTTTCGTCTTCTCGCAACGACGACGGCACGGCCGAGGTACCATCCTTCTTCGTTCTACATCCTCCCTCTCCTGCTGACGACATCTCCTTCATCAGATCCTCGTCAAGCTCGGCCACGCCGCGCCCCTCGTGATCCAAGCGCTGAACATGGCGTCGAAGGTGGCGTTCGACCTTCACGCCGCAGCAGCCATGACAAACCATCTGTCCACCGCGACCTCGGCTCCGTTCTCCAACCTGTCGTTGCTGTACAATTAAGTCGCCAATATACTTCGCGACAGTAAATCGCCGTCACTTCGAATGAACTCTTGTCACATGTGCATGATCATCATGAACTTGCTCAAGGATGCTCGGCCGCCGACCGTGATCGTACGCAGAGGATATGCGGACCTTGGCTACCTTCATCGTTCCCCACGATGTACTATACAAACACAAGTCACGTTTAGTCTAGCTTCAACCAGCAGCACTCCCGGTCGTAGTCCACGAGAAGGGCACATTGCCCCACGAGTCTATTTATCAACTTCAAACTAGATGTTAAAGGTACTTTGCACTTCTGTACACCAAGACAACACTACACCTTGTACTTGGTTTCATGTTGGAATATATGTATATATATTGTCGATTTGATACATATTTGGGGAGGGGGTGCAAACAAATCGCGCCGACCAAAAACCGATCCACAATCGATCTGATTGGTTGTTGAATTTCACTGAAAAGGTTTTGATTGGCTAATAATGTTGAGGTCATCTGAGGTAGCCAATCAAATCGATTTAAATTCCAACGAGAAACCACGCCACAACACAATGAAATTTCACTCGAATGCACTATATATATATATATATATATATTCGGCGGTGGATCTAAAAGGAGTGTCAAGTACGCTATACTCGTAAAATAACGCACACCCCGTCATGGCGAGTTCGATGCTGCGGCTGCCGCCTTGTCGTCCAAGTACTGTCTGGCGCTGTCGCAGATGGGCGCCAAGGACGGGCATCCCACCGCCACATGCTGCAACGTCACGCGCACGGCCATCGTCTCTTGGGCCGTCGCTTGGTCAAGCAAGTACAGCGTCGCATGGCACTGCGCTGTGATGTGTTCCGCCGCTTTGGTTTGCATGTGGTCATTGTTGGCGTTGGGCAACGGCAGCAGCAGTACCTTGACGTAGGCCAAGCATCTACATGTACCTCACAGCATCATCATGCGTCGGACGACATGTACATTACTTTAAAATGGCGAGAGTGATGTGCTCGGCATGGCCAGGCATGCGAATCCACGCCGCGACTATCACCGCCTGCAATGTCTTCAGCGCCTCCACACTCAACGTTCGTTCGGCACTTTCTACGCATCCCAAGATGACTTTGACCAACGGCTGGAGGTACCGCAGCAAGTGGAGGCTATGTGGCGCCCCCAGTCGGGCCACCCACACGCGGGCATGCGCTGTGAACACGGTCTTCACAGCCACATCAAGACTCATATCCCATTGTCGCAGCAACGACGGGAAGTACCGGTCGTACAGTGTCACATCTTGCTTGGACGGAGAGAGCACGGCCAGCAGATCTTCGAGGCATGCCAGGGTCGCGTCCAAGAAGGACGCAGACGTCGCGGCCGTCGTGAGCGTCTGCTCCATTTCATGCACCAACAAGTCCGAGTACCATCGAATGTCGGTGGCGGTGCCGTGTTTGAGCAAGTGGTGGAGCAACGACAGCCCCACCACCTGCGTCGCCGGCGTCACTTGATCGAGGAGCGGCAGCGCCAGCGCCAGGACACGACCGACCACGTCGCTGGAAAAGTGGGGAAACGACACTTGCTGAACGAACCAGGCAAACGCGCGCGGCGGGACGGCGCCGGTGGCCACCCATTCGTCCTTGGAGGATTTCGATGCGAATAGGGACAGCATGTGAGGAAGGAGGCTAGGAAACTCGTGAGAAGAGCGTATGCGATCGAAAGGGATCGAGTACAGCTCTCACCGTGGAAACAGATCGACGGAGGACGATGGGTGATGAGTGCAACGAAGCAACCGGTGGTGAAGGGCAGCGAGAATGCGCTTGGCAGAGGCTTGACATTCGTCTGTCGAAATGCTGGATGGTGGTGTACTGCATAGGTAGAACGAACATGCGTGCAACATGGTGGCAGCCCACCGCTCGACGGTAGCGGGAGTGGTGGACGACGACGACGACAAAGGATCTAGGGAATCCAGCCCTTCAATCAAGGTGACAAGGACGTTGACGACTCGGAAGACAGCGATGGGATTGCTTCTGCTGCTGCTCGATCGATTCAATGACGCGGCTGTTGCATGTTGCAAGGCTATTTGAACAAGGATGTCTGCACAGTTTGTCCACATGGCATCGATGGATTCCACGGCGGCAGCATCAGTTGGGGAGATAGTCACCGCCACGACGTCAGCTTCCAGGCGATCCAGAGCATCTTCCATCTCCAACGAGTACAGTACGCTACCATCGTCCTCGTCATTCACGAGTTGCATCTGGATCGGGCGTACGCATGCCTCATGGAGTTCTGCAACCAAGCGCGCCACGGCCATGATAGAAAGGTGGTGAAACCTCTTTAAATTAATATTCACGGTAGAATCAAAACTGGGCCAACGGCGGCATATCCGTAGTCGGGACCTGTGTCTACGTGACGTCTAACGTTGCGAGCGAGCTCCAGCCTGTAGCCACTGTCGACACGCAGCACTTTATTCTTCGGAAGAAGGGGTACTATCCCCCCATCATGATCATCATACCAATGTGTTGCGTCCATCAAGAAGTCAACTCAAGACGTGGCTGGTAGTGGTGGCAGTCGGAAATCGGTACAATTTCCATTCACTTTAAAAGCTTTTCCCTCCTTTAAAATTCTGACCCAGCTCCCATACACGTTTGCACGTGATGGTATCCAGTATGATGACGATCAACCGACCTAGTAGTAGATCTGGAACGACGGACCCATGGAGCTCTTGAGGTAGAGCACCTTGATGTTTTGCCAGTTCTTCTTCAACAACGACGCCAAAAAGTTGGCCGCCAGTTGGGTGTTGACGACAATCTCTTCCTTGGTTTGGCCGACGTGGGCAACCGCCAAGTTCAAGCACATGACCTTCTTCATTTGGAACTTGATCGTGGCGCGCACGGCGTTGGCCTTGTCGTTGATGTCTTCGTTACCGGACAACAACGTCGGGAACTTGCCGGCCTTGGTGAGGGCGGGGCCGAGCAGACGCGGGATCTGCTTGATCAACGAGTCGGACGCCAAGAAAGCATCGTACTTCTTGGCGTACTTCTTGATGATCTTCTTGTTCTTGTTGAACTTCTTCAAGTCGTCCACGGTCGAGAACTCGAACCCGTTCTTCTCGGCCAATTCGCAGTGCACGGCGTTACCGATCACGCAGATCTTGAGGTTAGGCTTGGGCACGGTGGGGAGCTTGAACGTGCCGCTGAAACGCTTGTCTTTTTGCGGGTCGTAGTTCTTCAACGCGATTTGCAATTCAATGGTTTCGTGGAAGTTGCGCTTCTTGCCCTTCACTTCCTCCTTGCCCACGGTGATGGTCTCACCCGCCGAGAAGGCCAAGATGTCTTGGACCGCCTTGTCCAACAAGTCGCTGTTCAACTTGCTCATACTTTAAAGTGTCGCTGCGCAGAACAACTCCAAAGGGAAAGTAAATAGCTCTCTCGCATCAACCTGTCTCGACCAGCCACTTCATGCCCGCCAGCGGCCCAATCATACCGTTTTGAGCCTCTCCACCAATCAAATGCCGACTCTTCCCCTCTCTAGTATTCCTACTAGTAGCTTGTTCACTAAATGTTAATACCATAGTGGGGTGGAGATATTTTAATGAGTTTCAAGGTGCTACTAAAGTATGTTCCACGTAGGTGACCTTACTAGTTTCCGGTCAACTTTGTGAGCGTTCTGGTCAAATTATATTCGCACTTTGTGAGGTTAGTGGGTATTGATTTTTCAAGTCTCTGAGTTTTTATATATCTACTCGACCGAGACGTTGGAAATCGGATCGTGGGGTGCGCGCTGTACCCCTACGTTGTGGAACTGTATATCCTTTGAAACATGATATATTGACGCTAGAGCGTGGGACGATTCAAACGACAGGTGCGCAATACTCTGGCGCCACATCGGTACTGCCAAACTTAATACAGAACCCCTGCCCTACCTCGTTGTTGACTAGGGCACAGGTTCTCTTGATGTTTGTATACTCATAGAAAGGCTTCATAGAAAATCAAAGTCAGATTGAAGATTTTGGGTATGGATTTGCACGGGTTTAGTCTTAAAAATTGTATGCCTTATGCTAGAAGCGCGATCTTCAACCGGCCGGTACTTCGATTTTCCCCCTTTCATTTCCAGTTTTACTCGGTTCATCTCAAGTGAAAATGGCTTCCGTCGCGGACGCCTCCGCCGTGGCATCGGATGCCGCCGCCTTTGGCTTGGTCATCGGCTCCACCGTGTTCGGTCTCATCTTCGCCGCCTTCTTGTTCTGGCAAGTGTCTAAGATCCAAGTGACCCGTCGTGGCGAAACCTATGCGTTGTTGTCCCAAGAAACCCGCGGCCAAACCGCTGACCGCTTGTACGAAATCTACATTGCCATCCAACAAGGTGCCCAAGCGTTTTTGTTGGCTGAATACACCCTTTGCCTTGCCTTTATTGCCGTGTTTGGCTTGGTCGTCTTCGTGTTGACCTCGTACGTCAACAAGGCTGAACAAACCTTCGACTGGACCTTCGGTGCGTTGACCGCCACTGCCTTCGCTGTGGGTGGTTTGACCTCCATCTTGGCTGGTTACGTGGGCATGATGGTCGCCGTGTACTCCAACGCGCGCACCACCGTGTCTGCCATGAAGGACGGTGCTGCCGGCTGGCAAGATTCGTTCAACACCGCTTTCCGTGCTGGTGGTGTCATGGGTTACTCCTTGACGTCGCTCGCGTTGTTGGTGTTGTTCATCTTGATCGTTGCCTTCGAAAACGTGTACCCTTTGGCCACGGATGCCAAGCGCCTCTTTGAAGCCGTTGCCGGTTACGGTTTGGGCGGTTCGTCCATTGCCCTTTTCGGCCGTGTCGGTGGTGGTATCTACACTAAGGCCGCTGATGTCGGCGCCGATCTTGCAGGCAAGGTCGTGGAAAACATCCCTGAAGATGACCCGCGTAACCCCGCCACCATTGCCGACAACGTCGGTGACAACGTCGGTGATGTCGCCGGTATGGGCTCGGATTTGTTTGGTTCGCTCGCCGAATCCACTTGCGCCGCCCTTGTGATCTCCACTCAATCTGCTGCCATCATCAAGGCTGGCTGGGCCGCCGTGCTCTTCCCCCTTGAAATCACGGCCATCGGTATCTTTGTCTCCGCGTTCACCTCGTTCCTCGCCACCGACTTGTGGCCCGTGAAGAAGGAATCGGATGTCGAAACCGTGTTGAAGGTCCAGCTTTTCGTCGCCACCACGTTGATGACTGCTTTCACCTACCCCCTTGCCAATGCCGTGTTGCCCGCTTCGTTCGCGATCGGTGCCGACTATGTTGCGACCCCCTTGACTGCGTTTGCCTGTGTGTCCGTCGGTCTGTGGGGCGGTTGCTTCGTTGGTTTCGTGACTGAATACTTCACCTCGCACTCGTACACCCCTGTGCGCGAAGTGGCCCAAGCTTGCGAAACTGGTGCCGCCACCAACATCATTTACGGCCTTGCCCTTGGTTACAAGTCTGCCATCATCCCGATCACCATCATCTCCATCGCCGTGTACGTGGGCTTCCACTCTGCCGGCATGTACGGCGTGGCACTCGCCGCCCTTGGTTTCTTGGGTACGCTCGCCACCTGCTTGGCCATTGACGTGTACGGTCCCATCTGCGACAACGCCGGTGGTATCGCCGAAATGGCCGAACTCCCTGCTGAAGTGCGTGACAAGACGGACGCGTTGGACGCCGCCGGGAACACCACCGCCGCCATCGGCAAGGGGTTCGCCATCGGGTCCGCCGCGCTTGTGTCGCTGGCGTTGTTCGGTGGTTTCGTCACGCGCATTGAAGAAACCTCGATCAACATCTTGTCGCCCATCACGTTTGCCGGTTTGTTTATGGGCGCCATGTTGCCTTACTGGTTCACGGCCATGACGATGAAGTCTGTCGGTGTTGCCGCCATGGAAATGGTCAAGGAAGTGAAGCACCAATTCGCCACGATCCCTGGTCTCCTCGAAGGTCTGCCCGGCCACGGTCCCCCGGACCATGCCCGTTGCATCAAGATCTCCACCGATGCCTCGCTCCGCGAAATGATCGCGCCTGGTTTCTTGGTCATCTTGTCGCCCATCCTTGCCGGCACCTTCTTTGGCACCCACGCTGTGTCTGGCCTGTTGGTCGGTTCGTTGACGTCGGGTGTGCAGCTCGCCATCTCGCAATCCAACACGGGCGGCGCTTGGGATAACGCCAAGAAGTACGTGGAGAAGGGCTGCGTGTCGATTGAAGACAAGGACGGCAAGTTGATTGTCCAAGGTAAGGGCTCGGCCATCCACAAGGCGGCCGTGATCGGCGACACTGTCGGCGACCCGCTCAAGGACACTTCTGGCCCTGCTCTCAACATCTTGATGAAGCTCATGGCCATCATCTCGCTCGTGTTTGGTGACTTTTTCAAGGGCATCAACAACGGCCGCGGCTTGCTCAACGTGCCCCAAAACTAAAATCGCGTCGGGCGATACGTTGTACAGCACGTATAACACCACCAGCTTTGCTGCTGCACCAAGAGGTGTGCAATTTTGTCATGTTATAATACACACGATATAATGTACAAATTTGGTTGACTTTGATGTTGATATTATATGTTGCTCAAACAACTTGCTACTGAGTGAAGAAGGTACTCCAGTGAGCGAGCAATTTATATATATATATACCGGTATGTATATATATATATATATATACTGTATAATCTGTGAAGAACATTAAGTCGAGTGTACTAGTACATACTAGTAGTAGTACTAACGTTTGGGCTATTCATACATACCCATGATCATTGCTGTTGGCCAGAAATGTGACTGAGGCATACACTATTTATATCTATCTGTTCATGACGTCATGATTATTATCGCTGGATTGAACACCATCCACTCGAAGCTTTGAATGGGACGTCAAATTTGTACCTAATGATACCCAAAACTTGCGTCATGGAACGGCGATGAAGTCGTGCGAGGGAGCCACATCCGTCCTTACATATACTAGGATCAAGTACTCCGGAATATTAGTAGTACTACGTAGTATTAATAGTAGTTACTAGCATAATCCATGTACTTGGTACTTCGTCGAGCCCAAAGCCCATTCATTCGGCCGCGTTTTGATCACTTGTGTCAATGACGTTGAGCCGTGGCTCGTGTTTATACACCAGATGACGTCAGCATCTCCAAGTCCATGACGATTCTCAATCCATCCCTGGACCATCCTTGAACGAACAAAGACATGCGTCGTCACGGCATGTCTTTGTCGTGGTGTCCTTTCACGCGTTGAAATGGATCTTTGGCACAAAGAACTGAGCCAGACGCATGACGCGGTGACATCATCCGTGAAATTCGAGCAAAATTCGATAGTTTTGGGGTAATTTGCTCTCGTTTTCGTACAAAATGGCCAATCCCATCGCTCGATTTCGAATGGGATGTCATACGTCACTCGGAGTCGCGAAATCCACCAATCCATGAGCTTGTTTTCCAAATCTACAATTTGATTGGCTGACGTGACAACCTACATCGATGATGTCATGGGACTTTGGGGTACGCTTGGCACATTCTCATGTGGTGACGGCATCCCGTGGGGGCCAATGAATCGCGAGCACTGCCTCGTCAAACCAACTTGCATTGTCCGTTGCCGAATCCATTCCCGCTTTTGCTTCGCTCTCCTCAAGACAGTCGCAGATCAAACATCATGGTGGAGTGGAAGAAGCACATTGCCAACGCCAACTGGCCCATGGTCCTTTACTTGGGGTTCTGCCACGTGCAGGCGCTGGCCGCGATTCCGTACTTTACGTCGTGCAAGTGGCAAACGTGGGTGTGGACCCTTGTATGCTACCAAGCCGCGGGGCTCGGCATCACCGGCGGCGTGCACCGTCTGTGGTCCCACAAGGCGTACAAGGCCGCCGATTCGGTGCGCGTCTTCCTCATGCTGTGTAACGCGTTGGCCAACCAAGGCACGATCTACCACTGGTCTCGCGACCACCGCGTGCACCACAAGTGGAGCGAAACTGAAGCCGACCCGCACAACGCGAACCGCGGTCTATTTTTTGCGCACGTTGGGTGGTTGCTTGTGAAGAAGGACGCCAAGGTGATTGAAGCCGGCAGGAAGATCAACTGCGACGACTTGAAGGAAGACTGGGTCGTGATGCTACAGGAACGCTTCAACCCGTGGGGCAACCTGTTTGTGTGCTTCGTCTTTCCCATGCTTGTGGCCACGTACGGGTGGAACGAGTCGTGGGTCAACGGCCTCCTCGTCTCCGGCTTCTTCCGCTACGTGTTTGTGTTGCATGCGACGTGGTTGGTCAACAGCGCCGCCCACTTCTACGGCACCAAGCCGTATGACCCTGACATGGGCCCGACCGAGAACACGTGGGTGGCGTTCTTTGCCATGGGCGAAGGTTGGCACAACTGGCACCACGTGTTCCCGTACGACTACGCAGCCAGCGAGTTTGGAATCTCGGCACAGTGGAACCCCACCAAGCTGTTCATCGACACCATGGCCAAGCTTGGACTGGTGACAGACCGCAAGCGCGCGTTGCAAGCGTGGGAAGGGCGCAAGGCCCGCTTGTATGCCAAGGCCGTCGACGACGCCGTTAAGGCCAAGACCGCCTAAGGCTTAACCTAAATTCACATTATTTGTTGCAATGTTGGCTTTATAAGTATCTTGGGACTTCAACATCGCAGTCTTCCAAGATCATTACGGGAAGGCGGCTATATCGCTGTGGACATCACGGTACAGTGGTGTCACAGACGATGCGTCATGCAATGTGTGCACTGGTAACTGGTTGATATTAAACACCAGTTCTCCAGTTGCCACGTCATACTATTGCATGTTGTACAGTAGGGAGATCGATTTCATTGGTGCGACAGGCAGTGCGCGATGGATTTGGGTCGTTTCAAGCAATGTGACGCGTCTACAACATCATTGGCAGGCGCCACCAGTTCAAGCCCAACAAGATGGGAACGTACTTATCAACCCTCTGCAGATTTCTCACCCTCCAGCCCCCAGAGTCCCCAGCGTAGCCTACAGTAGTCCTTTATAACGACGCAGCCCTCACCACTCTATCACGATACCCTCCCCCTCAACATACATAACGAATACGAAGGCCAAGCCACGATGTGCTTCTGAATTCCGACCCTAAACTCGCCAACGACATGGGTCTTGTGCCTGCCGAGACATGAAACAGATGAAGGGGCTATAGCGCTCCTGGTTTGATGGGGATGACCAGTTCATGCAGGCTCCGCCCCTTACTTTCCACCTACACGGCGTCATCACGCTGTCTACACACAGAAGCCAACCACACCGCCAGTTCCCACTATAAGTAGGCCCCGGAATTATAGTCGACCTGAGACGCAGCCCTCTCACTCCACTAGACAGTGCACCCTTCGAAGATTTCCTCAATTTATACCTTCAAGCATGCTTAGCAATGCCACGTATGGTTGCCAGCCTCCCAAGGGGGATTGATTCGTTACCCCCAGCACGAGCGATACATATTGAGTTCGCATCGCACAATATGTTGGGTTATTTGTACTCCAGTGTACTACAGTAGGCAAAGGTAGAGGCAATACGCAGTCGTTTCCAAACGAGAGACCTATGCACACACGATGCATTGTTCACTGCGATACAAATACATAACGCACGTTGCGAGGGGGAATCAGTAACGTTAAAGCACCGACTTCGCCGACATGGCTTCCATCCCGTTGACTACAGAGCATTCGACTGATATTTGACTTCGTGCGTTCACTGCCTATAGTATACACCACATACTGCCATGGCCCAGCGCATGGTGATACGACGCTCTTGTGATGATGCCACAACACAATGCACTCAATGCAGGTCAATTTGCTCCGCTCCATGCTTGAAGCCTCAAAGCATTCGGCAGACACTCGACATCAGCAGTCGTCCATGCACGTTGCAACGACGCGGGCTGACCCTTCGGTAGCAGCCTCGTCCAAGTGTTCCTACTAAGGGAACTCCACCTGCACAATCTCAATGTGGCACCGCCGCTCCATCATACCGAGTAATACTGTAAATGTCAAGATGACTTTTAACGTTACTGTTGCGTGCAACGAGGACATTTCAGTGTATTTGATTGGCTGTATCGATATGAAAGATCTTTGATTGGCTAACATTCCATATACTAGGGATCGGGGAGATGGCAAATGCCCACGGGGCGGGGTAGGGTAGTTTCCCCCCCTTCTCGTGACATGAGCATTTTCAATAAAGCGCCACGATGACCACGCCAGTCCCGACGACAATCGCGTACGAGGATGTCGCGCGCCTGCCGACTCCCGGCAGCAACGCTCCCACGAACATCCAGTTCTCCCCCAATGGACGTCTTATTGCTTTCCTCCAAAGCTCCAGCAATGAACTGTCCCAGCAGCTTTACGGCATGGACGTCGAGTCCAAGCAGGTTTCGCTCGTCGCGCGCGCTCCAGGCAGCGGCAACACGGAAAACAACTTGTCCCTCGAAGAAAAGTTGCGCCGCGAACGACAGCGCCAGATGGGTGTCGGGATCACGTCCTACTTGTGGTGCCCGGCGCCGCATTCGACGCGCATTTTGTACCCGCTTCAAGGCAACTTGTATTTGCAAGAATACCCTGGCGCCGACCTCGTACTGTTGTTCGACAAAGCGTCCACGGGCGCCAAGGGCGGTGCGATTGATCCACAATACTCCCCCGACGGTCGCCAAATTGCGTTTGTCCAAGAAAACGAGATCTACGTCATCGCGGCGGACCCTGTCGGCGGCGGCGGCACCCAGCCAGCGACGCAAATCACGTTTGGGGCACGTGAAGTCGGGAAGAGCCACGGGTTGGCATGCTTTGTGACCCAAGAAGAACTATCTCGATTCCGCGGGTTCTGGTGGTCGCCCGACTCGTCTCGCATCGCGTTTGAAGAGATTGACGACACCCACATCCCGGAGTTCCGCATCATGCACTCGGGCAGCGCCGAATTGGGCGACAACGCCCAAGAAGACCACCGGTACCCGTTTGCGGGTCAAGCCAACCCGCGTCGCCGCCTCGCCGTGCAGTCCGTCAACGTCTCGACGCGCCAACTCCCCGTGTACGTGCCGTTCCCGGACGCGGACTTTTACATTAGCCGCGTGCACTGGTTCGTTGACGGGTCGTTGGGCATTGAAACGCTCAACCGCCTGCAAACTGAAGCCGCGCTGTTGCGATGGACGCCCACGACCCAAGCGCTTGTCGAGCTCATCCACGAGACGTCCGCCGTGTGGCAGAACGCGCACTACTTGTACCGCAACCTGGAATCCCGCCCGGACGGGTCATTCACGTTCATCTGGGCGTCCGAGCGCACGGGGTTCATGCACTTGTACTTGTACGAGTTTGCCCACGGCGCCGCGACGCTGGTCCGGCCGTTGACTCATGGGGACGGCAACGTCGAATCGATTGACGGCATCGACTTGGAGCACGACGTGCTCTACTTTAGCGGCAACTTGACAAGTCCGATCGAACGCCACTTGTTCCAGACGTCTCTTTCTGTACCGAACGCGCCGATCACCCAAGTCACGACCATCCCCGGCGTCCACAACGTCGTGTTGGACGGGTCTGCGTCCGTGTTTGTGGACGTCTACCACAACCTGACCACCCCTCCGACCGCCGTCTTGTCCAAGCTGGCGGCGCCGGCGGTCACCATTCATACCCTGCACGCAACGTCGGACCCGCGCCTCACACAGCTCCAAGACCGCATCGAAGCGCCTTCCACGTTCACATTCTCATCGCGCGACGGCACGGCCACGCTGTACGGCGCACTGTACAAACCCGATGCGGCCAAGTTTGGCCCGGGGCCGTACCCGACCATGGTCAACGTGTACGGCGGGCCCCATGTGATGCGAGTGCAGAACGCATGGAATGTGACGGTGGACATGCGCGCCCAACTGCTGCGCAACTTGGGGTACGCCGTGCTCAAGGTGGATAACCGGGGGACGTACCGCCGGGGGTTGGCTTTTGAAGGCGCGATCAAGCACGCGATGGGCACGATTGAGATCTCGGACCAGGAGGATGGCGTACACAAGCTGATTCAAGACGGCGTGACGATCGCGGGCAGAGTGGGCATCATCGGATGGAGCTACGGCGGGTACATGAGCGCGATTTCGCTCGTCAAGGCCCCCGCCACGTTCAAACTGGGTATCGCCGGCGCCCCCGTCACGTCCTGGGACGGATATGATACGTGCTACACGGAACGATACATGTCGACGCCCCAACTCAACCCCGAAGGCTACGCCCGCGGCAACGTCATGAACTTTGTCCAACATCTGCAGCCGCACCAAAAACTGCTGCTCATCCACGGCCTCATCGACGAAAACGTCCACTTCCGCCACACCGCGCGGTTGATTAATGCGCTCATTGCGGCCCGCAAGCACTACGACTTGCTGCTGTTCCCCAAGGAACGCCACTCCCCTCGCCACCTTGAAGACCGAATCTACATGGAGCAACGCATCGCACAGTATATCGTCGCCAACTTGTAAGGTTCAACCGGATTAAAACATGATACTTCGGAAGTAGCTTTTACTCACAATTTCGAGACATGAACGGCCTAGCCAATAGTATTATTGCAACCCTGCGAGTATTCGTTTAAGAATTCAACGCGGAATAATCAAATTTTTGCTCATATGTGACACAATAAATACTACTTCGAAGTATAGGTTGGCGGTGTACCAACACCTTCTCCAACTAACTCAAGACAAACGGACGTGTGCGTCAAGGACAGATGAAGCTGCTCATGCATGAGTTCAAGGTCAGCCAGCAAACGATCTCACGCATCTGGACACGTGGTCGCGACTCCGCCGCATCCACCGGTGTGCATTGGGTGTGCATTCACTCGTCGTAGAATTGTACTTCTGAATAAAAATACACTTATACCTCGAAAATTTATGCATAATGTATACAAATTGCTTGATGTTTAAACCTCTCCAAACTTCACTCAAGTATTCCGGAACGGAGGAAGTAGTTTAATTAATCTTGCAAACCTCAAGTAGTTATCGGTAATTTAATTCGGTGTAGAATACTGTAGTCTTTACAATTGTTACAGTACTTAAGTAGAACGGAATTCTACTAACGTTAGTACTAGTACGTAGTAAAACAACGTGGTACTACTATGTAGTACTACGTACTTCTAGTACTGTTTTAATATTAATACTATTAATAATAATAGCTTACTAGTATTAATAGTAGGACAGTACTACTAGTATACTGTAAGTACGATAACGTTACTTTTAATAGTAGTACTTCGAGTAGTGAAAGGGGAGGGTTCTGACTCGACCCTAACTAGGCTTCCTGGTGACGATGCTAAGGACCTGAGGAAACCTGGGACTGAACCAGCGACCATCGGTATGTTCTTGTCCTACTTAGATCAGGTTTAAAGTGATCTATAAGTAGACGCGCTCCCAACTGAGCCAAAAGAACTGGTCAATCTGGACATGAGATTGTACTACGAGAATGAGAACGAGAATGAGAACGCTCGACTGAAGTATTATACTACAGTAGTAGGGTACACTGTGAAAACGTTGTAAATCTGAATTTGCCCAGTTGTTACTAGGTCAAACCCGGGGGACAAGGAATAGATAATTGGTCCATGCGCGGTCAACCACCAAATCCCCAAGATCACCACGCCACGTGGAATAGCGGACCGCACTCGGTTGCGTTGGCTTTGGTTTGGTATGAGGGTACATTGCACATACTACATTTCCATACGGTTGCACATAAACCAGCAGGCATGATATCGTATGGAGGGGAATGTGTGGCCATGGACGTCCGTCACACCACGACGACAGCGATCCTGATCGTACTGTGTACTGTATGGGTACGTATTACTGCATTGACTCTTTTTACCTTAGTATTTACACTAACACACTACCAGTACTAGTTACGAAGTACATACCTTGGTACTGTAGTACTATGTAGTACGAAGTACTAGTAAGTTATAACGAAGTATGTTTTACTCATAAGCAGCCGGTAAGTTTCACTTTTCACTTGAACATTGTCATGCCTGAAGGGAATTCGAACCGTGATATGGAAATGCAATCAATCACTGGAGCGTGCTGTTGTTACCAACAAAAAATACGCTCCTACTGATCGTAAGGTTATAGTGAACATCGTCCAGTCGTGAAAACTTCACACACTTTTACCGGTTCAAAACGCGCCTGAAATCAACAGTAAATCTACTGTACCGTACACCTTCCGGAAGGTCGAAGAAAGTTCGTGCATCAATTCTAACCTTCCTATCATTCACCACGACTGGTCAGAGTAATTCCCTGGGAGTATAACCCTTTCGCTGTTGTTTAGGTATGTAAGCACCTCCTTTCAAACGAACCAAGAGCCCAATGTACCTCGGAACCCCCAATCCCTTTGAGTTGCTACTCTACTAATTGCATCACCAGTGGTTAGCTACCGCTAACCAGTCGGAATGTGTTGGCTTGGTCTGTGATACACTAAGAACAATGGAAATGATCACGTACACAACAGTGGACCTTTTTCTGTCAACGACATCGTCAACTGGCTTCTGTGGCAGCCTCACTCGCCTTCGGGCTTACGATGGGCAGCCTTCAGTTCACTGCCAACGAAGAACGCTCTTTCGAAGTGCGGCACCCGCATCTTGTGCTGGCATGCAGTTCATTGCCATGCATTGGTGCCACTTAGCGGTGGTTGGTGAGTGGATCCAATGAGACGTAACAACAACACCTGAGTATGGGACACGTTCCAAGCAGTTCTCTAAAGTGCGGATCATTTAACGCACGGTTCAGAGACAGTCCAGCAGGCGGGATTGTGAATGGACTTGGCATTTGTATCGAAACAAAGTGGGTTTTATTCCACTTGTGTAAAACGCATTCTACGAGGGACAGTACACATCGCACTTCACGGAGAGGTTACTCGTTGACCGCAGCGTCATGATGTCTCGAGGTCATTTCGCATCTTCTGGGCGCATACTGTTGGTTCAACATGCCTACAACAGCCTCGACAAGAACGATGTCCGACTCCCTTGTCCTGGACGAAGACCAGTACCGCACATGGAAGTACCAGCTTCGAGACTCGGTTCTCCACGCCATGCAGAGCAGTCCCGCAAGCCGCGAGGCCGACGCCAAGTTTGAAGGGTACCGTCTATCTTCGTCCGAGAAGCACGCGACCCTTCGTGTGTTCAAACGCAAAGCCGCCCAGATCAAGCAGCACAAGAAGTCGCCGTTCGTGGAAGTGCTGAGCATCAACACGTTCGACAGCTCGACCGTGTCCCTCGACGACATCGCGTACGCGTTCCACAATGCCACCACGCACGACCACCGCAACCACACCGCCATGAATTTCCCCAGCCGGTTCGTCGACGGTGCCATCCTCAACACAACGCTATCAACCTGTGTCGAAGATCCATTCCAGTGGTTTGGGGTCAAGTCGCTCGTGCTGCGCTTCGACCTGAGCGTCGCGCGTCGAAGTGCAACGTACGTCGAGTACTCTGGGACGACCGCCGACCGCGAAGGCCACAAGGTGCTGTTCGTGGTGCGGGAGTCATGTCCATCGCTCATCTCACCAACGTCACCGTCGTTTGTGTTCAAGGAGCATCTGTTGTTCACGCAACTCGCCGACTTTCGCATCGAAGGCGTGCACTACTACCATGCACAGGACGACCCCAAAGGAACCAAGTACCCGTCGTTCCTCTTCAACAAGCAAGCGGTGCAGCACGGCCACTTGCTTGAGCACGTGCCCCACATCTGTCGGCAGAAGTGGCTGCTCGCGGCCCACCGTCGTCCGCCGCCGCTGTTGACGTCGTCAACAACCATCTTGTGCGAGTCGTGCGACTCGACGAAAACGACCAAGCGCCACCCCTGCCGCGCCTGCGGGTACGCCGTCTGTGCCAAGTGCATCGTGTGGGCGTCGGAAGCCGCGCCTCACGCCGGCGGCGTGGCCAAGGTCGTCGTGTGCAAACGGTGCTACGTCGTGGCCAGCCACGTGCAACCGTCGAAACAGAAACTTGAATCCAACAACGTCCGGTTATTTGACGGCGGCCCTCCTACTTCCGGACAAAACGACCACGGCATTGAAGGGGACGACAGCCTCCGCGACAACGTGCCCCCGGAGCTGCTCGCCATGCCGCTAAACATGTCGAGCTCATCCGTAGACAAGAATGGTCGGGAGAGCAACTTGACGTGCCGCTCGACGGTGCAAAGCGAAGACTTTGTCATGACATCGCCGTATGAACCAAGCGATGGCGACAGCGACGACGACGAGGACCTGACGGCGAGCTTTGTTCGAGTGAGCCAAGGCCTCCAAGCCCAGAAACACCTCGTCCATCAAATGCAAAGGCATTTTGGCTTGGTCAGCACTTAAGCGAGCGATGCTGCCATGGGGGACAATGTCTCGATCGCAGAGACTCTACTTATATAACTTATTCAAAGTATATCTTCCTATTACTCGGGTGGTACATGCTTGCTTGGCATCTTCCCACAAGAGAACACGCCATCACAACTACTATAGCATAGTACACTGTACTGTAGGGCAAGAGGTGGGCGTGAGTACATGTGTGCGTAACGTTACTGTTGTGCATGTGTACTGTACTACAGTAGTAGTAGTAGTAGTACTATCTACTAGTAGTACTACTACAGATAATGAGGTCACATATATGAAATGTCCTTCACCGACATGACACACCACTTGATGTAACGGTATATGAAATGTCCTTCTTCGCACCACCATGTGTGTTTGTTTACCTTCATCCTGGTTGCTACAGGAATCCCACATTGCCTTCACCTTTCCACCGTGTCGATGGGGAGCATATCATCAGCATAGTGCTGTGTCCTTTCATGTTTGGCTCGTTACGACGTGAGCCTCAACATAAGCATGTTCTATCGCTCCGCCATTTCCACCGCGCTGCCCTTGTGCAGCCAATTCAGCAGCGACATGTAGCCTGCCTGCGACTTCGGCTCGGTGTCGCAGCTTTGACGACCTCGTCAGACGCCGCAGACTTCGTCGCGAACCAACTCTCTGGCGATGACGTCCGTGGCTTGCTTGCGCTGTTCAGGCCGTCCGTCCAACAAAGTCATACTCGTACAGGAACCGCACCATGTGCGTTTTTGTTTCCGGGCGGTTAGCACGCAGAAACTGCACGACGCTCAATTGTCCACTCGTGGCCGCCCACGCAACACCAACGACGAACAGCCTTCGATGGCCACTCGACGATGTCCAAGTGCCCGCTTCCCAGCTACAACCAAATCCAAGGCACGGACATTCCACGTAATAAGAAGTTGAGGCTGCCGATACGAGAATTGCACCACAGAAAGGAAGCTGCACGGCTGCACCCTTCGGTGGGATGCTCGATCAGCCACTGCATCGTGTACGGCAGCTGTAACGTCCGTGACCTTGGTCGTCCAGCATGGACAGGTTTCGAACACACCGAAGCACGTCCGTGTTGCCGTGTGCTACCTGCCGCCACGACACACATGATGCTATGCGACGTAATGACTGCAATCGGTCCAACCTGTCTACGGCACGGAAACGTTTCCAACCGACGCGGCGTCGCAAAGCGAAATGTGTTTCATGTGGGGCAGTGACCCGTACGAGCAGCGGCAGCCGACTGACACTAGTCGGTCATGTCTTGATTCTTCGACTCCCCAAAGGAAGTAACCACTTTGGAACACCCGCACCAGTTGGTATACTAACTAGTATGCGCAATACTGTGTAGCTCAAGGCGATGATGGCGAAATGCAACGAAAATTCTTATAAATTCAATGATAACGTCGATTTTGTTCAAATTTCCCATTTTTCGATGGTTCGTTCAATCGAGCACAAATAGAGACATCTGATTGGCTAATATCCACTTCGCACTTTCCGGTAGAAAATCGAAATTGGATTGTAGCCAATCAGCGACAAGTAATTCTGTATTGACCAATGGGAGAGATTGGTTGGTGGTGCTCGATTCACTCGGCGAGAATTGATTGAACGGGGTTCGGAAATTCATATCGAATCTCCAATATTACAACCCCACTACAGCGCACTGTAAAATCGTTGTATATTCACGAGAATTCCTCCTTTGCAAACGAACTTTTCAGCTAAAATATATATATACTTCCATCAAATATATTTTCCTGGTATTTTAAAGCCAACCACATTTCAAACTACATTGGATTAAGTACTTACTTGCTTGGTGTGTCACTATTCGGGAGATTTAATAACATAAACGGACACGATTCCACCATCGCTATTTTCTCTGAACGTTCATCGGAAAGAGATGAACATGCGAGCAAAGAAGACGACGATCGATCACGAGCTACGTGGACCTTCTTGCGCCGCACGTCGAGCTGCTCCATCAGTTGGTGGACCAACTGGCGTTGCTCGTCAATCCCACGCCGCATTTTTTCATGTTGCTGGGCATATATTCCGTTGGCTGGCAACGAGGTGAGCAACGCGCAGTGGTCGTCGTCGTAATCATTGCCTGTGCTGACTGTCGAGCGCAGTCCCGCACTATCCCGGCTATCGTCATCGCCGTCGTGGTATGAATCGATGCTACACTGCGAGCTCGGCGAACCTACGGCATACAAATATAACATTATCGCAACACCTGACATTAGTCTTTTATATTGCCAAGTCGATTCGAAATTGGAGTGGGGTGGGTGCTCAATCGAATGAGCAGAATCACAACCAAATCGGCAGACAATCGATATATGACCAATCAAAATACAAAATATGAATCAACTAGCCAATCAAATACCTTTTTTGGACCAATTCAACAAACGAATTAATGCGTGACGATTGTTTGAATCAAAAGTCAGTACAAAGAATCGATCGATGGATTTGGCAAAGAATCAGCACAAACGTTCAAATTTTGGGTAAAACGACAATACTACTGTAATATATATATATATATATATATATATATATATACTATATAGTTGCCGACAAAAGTTGTTTGGAAACGAATTCTCAGGAGCTCGTCAACACTCTGGCAAAAAAACAAACTCACGCTCGATCGCATGTGGCCGTGAATAGAAAGGAAATATATATATTCTAAATATTACGTTTATTTTTATTCAGAATGTTTATAAAAATATGATGCTGAACTTCAAAAATGATTAAAAAGCAAATAAAATTCTACTAGTACTATTGTCGATTTGATACAAATTTGGGGTGGGGGTGCAATCGAATCGCACCGACCAAACCGATCCACAATCGATCTGATTGGTTAAATTTCATTGAGAAGGTTTTGATTGGCTATTGATTTTGAGCTCATCTGAAGTAGCCAATCAAATCGATTTAAATTCCAACGAGAAACCACACAACAACACGAAATTTCACTCGAAAGCACAATACACACACCCGTTTCTTTTACTTCAGGAACCGAGCAAGGTCTGTACGACGTCGTTTGATGGATTTCAAACCTGGCACTAGTACAAAAGTAACGCCAGGGTCGCTGCCCCGTTGCTTGGAGAACAGGGAAAAACATGCTTTGCACACTTCATCATGCACCACCGTGAGCGAATTCAGAGATCCGCGGACGACACGGGGGAGTGAGACTACACACTTGGAGCACATGGCCTAAGCAAGTTATATACCATTATATAACGTTGTGACACTGTGCATTCGTACGTAGCCACATGCGACACAGTCGTGGGCTGTGCGAAAGCGACGAAGTTTGCCGCGGCAGGCACAACACGCGGTGAGTTTTCTACAACACCGCCAAAAATCGATCAACACGTCGCCAAAAACAAAAACAAAAAAAAGCGAAAAAAAAGAGTGTTTTTTTGGGTCGTACTGGAGTTCCGCCTGCTTTTTCGGCGATGCGAGATTCGCCAAGGCATGGAGACACCGTTGTTTCTGCAACATGAGAGGAAAGTCGTCGACTAGGTACAGCGATGCCTGCGCGACCTTGTTGAAGACAAAGGCGGGGATGCTGCCGAGGGGGTTGGAAATCAGGTACACCGCTTCCTCAATGCCGTCGTCGTAGTGGGTCTGCAGGATGAGTGTCTTGAAGTGGAAGCGCACGACGTGGTCCACGGGGGGGTAGTCGTCCAGGTTGACCGACTCTCGTGCGATGAAGAGCACGCGGTGGCCAGCCTTGTTCGTGCGAAGGCCCGACACCTCAAAGTACGTCGTGTCTCGGGGCTCGAACACGCCACCACTGTTGGCGAAGCGGAGTCGTTTGTACTTGAGTCCGACAAAGCGGAACGGGTCGGTGTCGCGGGTCTGATGCGCCGCCAGCACCATCGCGTTGAGGAGGTTGTCGCGGTAGAAGAGCGCTTGCTGCGCACGAAGGGCGTCCGTGGTGTCGCAGTAGCTCAGCTCCATGTAGTCGTCGAGAGAGAGTGGATTGCGCCGAAGGGCGAGGAATTCGTGAAACGCAGACGTCGGCGACTTTTTGACCAGCACGCGGATATTGCGCTTCTCCGACGTCAGGTGATACCCTTCCTGAATCGCGTCTAGCTCCCGCGTGTGCGGGGTGCTCTGCATGGCAGTGTTGACAAGTCCCATCATCTCCGCCTCCAAATCCTGCCATTGCGAGTCGGTCATGTGCTCGGAATGCATCGTCGTCGTTCGGGGTTCGTTCTCGAATGAATATTAATGTGGGAATATTATTATTATTCACGTTATGCGTATGACAAAACAGAAGTATTTTCAAATTGCGCAGCTGGCTCGACCCAACTTCAACTTGACGCGAGTTGGGAGGGGTGACAGTGCACATTTTTTGGCGCCGATTGCCTTTTGTACCAATCATTGACATATTACTAAAGTAACGTAAACAATCATTGATTTGCCGAACTTTTTGCCCAATAGAATGTCAGAATTGGTAGGATTGGATAAAACTAGTGACCGCAACAATGAAACCCTTAATGAGTTAATAATATTCCAGCAATTATGTTATAGAGTTTCAACCTTATTTGGAGGTACGTTAAACCTATGATAATGTATTACTTTATAAACGAATAGTAACTGTATAAATAGATATTTGTATCGTTTGCTCAGCCCATTTGCAATACTTTAATCAAGTCTAAAATTCGGCAAATCAATGATTTACTGTTTGGAGTGGACATCTTTACAATTTTATTACTTCAATTCCAAACATTTAAATTGACGTGTGTTTGAATCCAAGTAGAGAGCTTGGACAAAGGATTATAAAAATGCGGCTAGCAACTTCAAGTTGTAAAAATTGCATGAGATATGCTCCACACAACACAATCAAAATTCGGCGAATCAATGATTGTTTACGTTACCAGGTACTACGTAGTAAGTTACTGTACACCCCATGGATTTGTGGTGCACCAACTCGTTAACCTTGTAAAGGTGGTGGTTCTAATTATGATGTTCCTTGAGTGCAATATGTCAAGTCAGTAACCCCATGTTGATGTACACGTACTAGTACCTTGTACGATAAGTAAGCTTACTGTTATTATACCTATTACTGTTGTTGTCGGTTAAAATGTCTACTATGCACTTCGAGTATAATATTTCATTGCCATATTTTATTAATTTTAGATCTGAGGCATACAAGCTCTTCCTATTATCCTGTTCTGTCGATTCCATGCCTTTTATACACTTTACACTGTTAATGCTAAACTTCAGCAGCCGTGCGTGAGGCGTGAAAAGTACGTGGTTGATACATCGAGTGCATCGTCCATAGTACAGAGGACGTTGGAATGGTCCGCCTACAGCTTTCTTCGAGGCTCTGATGTACTAGTACACTTGATTGATCGATCATACAACCAAATTGCGTCTTTTCATTTTGAGCTTTTAACGTTAACGTTACTACTATTAACAGTAAATATTAATACATATTAGTATTAGTATTCCATTTGTTTTTCCAGAATGGGGTACGAAATTGCACGTTGACTCGAAACTTCAATCTCAAGAAGTGTACAGGCACTCGAGCCAATGTTAGCCGCTAGGTGACTTGCGCCGGCTAAAGAAATCAGGCGTCTATTGTACACGGACCTTCATGTTGCTCTGGTGCAAACGCGGTTCACCCATCAGGATCTCGGCTGTGGGAACACTTTACGATACTGTATTAATAGTACTGTACCTTGGTAGTAGATACTGGTGCTAACAGTAAGTCCGTTATTACTGTACTACTGTAGACTACTAGTATGTTAACTCTCCCGGGAACGTTACAGCAACGTTCTCCGGAGTAACCCCATTCCATGCCGGAAAGCAGTGTTCACCATCGGTAGTAATATGATGGTAGTAATATGATGGTTCACTTCCCAAGTCAGCCTTGAGTCACCCTACAGGTGGTAACACTTCCTGATTGACAACAAACTCATACTCCAAGGGCATATGTAGCTCAGCGGATGTAAGGTGTGCCTTGTTCTCTTGCCACGCGTGGGGTTAGGTGAAATGATATTCACACTTACGAAATGTCCGCTTCCATTCGGCTGATGCGGCCCGGAGGGATACGGTTGTGAAAACTACTTCAAAGTACAACATTAAAAAATTGGGACAGCATTCGCTGTGAACAATCACCGCTAAACCATCGCCCGAGTAGCTGTGAACCTCACAACCTCCGAGCTACAGTATGCCCCTTGGAGTAAGTCCTTGTTGTCCACCCACGAAATGCTACCAAGTGTAGTGTTGTTGACTCAAGAGTGAATTGGAAAGTGAATGGATTATTTCCGTCTTATAGTAACCCACTTATCAATGGACTTGTTCGGTTACAAGGTATGAGAGAATCCATATAACGTTATGCTCCTCTATGAAATCGTGAGCTCATCCAACGATGGCCCGTAGACGTCCATGTCTGTCAACACCCCAACCATACCAGCGGCAAACTCTACACGTAACCGACTAACCACCGCACATGTCTAAATTTGCCCAATGTATCATTCAGCATGCCTAAATTAACTCCGTACCTGTCGCCACGTTGTGATTCTTGAATGATCCGAGACGGAAGAAGCATCCGTTGGTGGGTCCGAGTGTTCTTGGTCTGTGTGATCCTTCACACGTTACTCTATGTGGCCCACGTCAACCAAATCCTCGGCTGAGTCGACCCGAAGCAAATTGTAGCCGAGGGCTTCCATCCCCTCGTCCTTTACGCCAAGTACAACGTCGCGTCGTGGATCAGTCAAGCGGTATCGTATGGCGAAATGTATGTTTTGCACCCCAATACGGTTCGTCGGATGGGGTCGTACCGGTGCCTCCAGTTTCAGTACATGGGGACGGGGGAATGCCCGAGCAACGTCAACGGGGTCGTGGCGCCGTTCACGACTCCAAAACGCACCGAGCGATGCGACACCAAAATTTCCACAAGTCTGTACGGTGTGCCAGGGCACTGCCAAGTGCAAAGTGACGTCACAGGCGATGTGATTTCGACCATGCACATGGGGTGCTGCCGGTTCACGTTGCGCCAGTTCTCGTGCGCAGGGGCGCCCAGTATGCTTCGTACGGATGGGACTCGTTGCAATACCGCCACTTACCGCTACCGATGTCCCCACCAGTAGTTAGCAAGGACGACGTGGTTGAGATGACAACGGTCGCCTACTCGTCGGAACACGAACGGCCTAGCCACCCTACACCCCCCTTGGCACCAACAACCCTATTTCCCAACGACGTGACGCCCGATCCAACGAGAAGTCGCTTGCGGCAAAACGTTACTACTAGCAGCGACGTGCAAACTAATGACGGCAGCGAGGCCAAACCAAGATTGAACAGTGGGTTCTGAGGCATTGCCTTGGTGGTGCACCCCAGAGTCCTCGCATCTACGTACGCCAGCATCCGATGGCTCCGGCAAGACTTGAACTACTCGTTGCCCATTGAAGTGCGGTACAAGACCAGACAAAATGGCTGGGACAAACCCCCTACTTCTCCTTACTGCTCTGGTCGCTCGATTCCAAGTTCGCCCTCGCGTGATCGACCATCCGCTGGCCACTCGGTTGTAGGACTACTCTTGTAGGACTACTGGAAGCCAGACAATACTTGCTTCGGTATTGACGGGTACAGCATGTTATGGGACCTCATGGGCATCGATTTTGTCGACATGTTTGAACAAGAGTCTGGGCAGCTGGTTAGTCAAACAAACTCGCGAGTGAGAAAGCACTACACGTGCTCATATTTTACTCGTTTCATCCTCCATAGTAAAGCTACACCTATTACCGTCAATCAACTATTCTACTATATATGCTCCTTAGTAACTTATGTGTGTGTGTGACATTCTCACCGACTTTGTGTACGACGACAAGGATCTGTACCGCCTCGCGTGGCTCAAAGCCGCCGTACCGTTTCACATGATCGAGCGATCTCCGGGGTGTCTTGGCTGTCGCCTGCGTCCGATTCGTGGTGGCGGTGGGTTTTGCGGCAAGACCATGGTGCAATACGCCCCCACGGCAGCCCCCTCTTTTTTCATCGCAACACTGAAGAGATGACTGGTGCGTTGGCGAAAGTAGTTCGTGGGAGTTCCTCCAAGAGTTTCAAAACAAGTATTGTCCTTCTCACGCAAATTTGGACTGTTCAGTCCAAAAGTGAAACCGTTTTTGAATGACCTTGGCAACATATCTTGTATTCACTATAGTCCAGTGAGTTCAATCTGAAACGGGGGGGTGTAGAAAAGGTATTGATTGGCTGAACAATTCAGAAATCTTGTAAAGGAGTGGTTTAGAATGGATTGGCTAGTTTATTCTCAAATCGATTGGCCAAGGCGACTACTCCAAAAATTACGAACCGACTTGACAATACAATGACATTTCTTCAGGCCAAGCAGAATGTACGTAGGGACGTGCATCTTGCCAACTACAAACCGGTGTCGTATGTGCTGGGGGACTTGGGTTGCTTTGGCCATTCCTATGCCTTGGTGGACATGTACACGGAAACAAAGATCAGTCAGACGGTCGCATCGCATGACGGAGGCCATGTTGCTGGTATACGCCGGCGAAGGTATGCGAATACAACACCTCCAAAGTATTCATGCACTTCAACATCGTCATCGTGATGAAAAATTACTATTGTTAACGTTAGGGTGTCCACAAGACCAGCATCACGATCCGTTCGAAGATGCAGTGGGCAGTCGATTGAACAGCTTGCCACAGCATCAAAGTACCAAACGCAGCACCTTGTTCCCACCTACGCTGTGATGAACAAAGACGCGAGTCTCGACGTTATAAAATAGCCTGGGTTGGTCTGTGGGCAATAATATAATACTCGTAGTGAACTAAATTTACTGTATGAACTTGACCTTTTCTTACAGTATCTAACGCGACGTTTCGGTTTGACCAATCACATTCTCGGGAAAACCAAATCATTGAAATTGGTTCCGACTTATGGAGTACGATTTTTGAAACCAACTTCAAGTTTCCATCATATTACTTCGAAGTTATTTTGTCCAAACCTTGTTCCAGTACATTGTAGACAGATGGGGCTTGCCGGGCGGCGGGTGCGCGTGCTCTTGGCTTGTGTGGCTTTGCAGTCGATGCTGTATATGGTCTACGTGAACCTACTCCTAAGCCGCATCGACGCGAAACAAGCCGTGGTGGATGCCTACCATCACGCCATCCAGCACGACGAGTACGCGGTCGTGTGGTCCATCGCCCAGTTTGTGCAGCGAATTCTGTACCCCAAGACCACGCGCCGAGACGGGACGTTTCGATGTCTCAAGTTTCAGCACACAGGGGAGTGTCCAAGCAGCTACGTCAGCAACGTCGTCACCTTGTTCCACACTCCTAGCAGCACCGAGCGATGCGACACCAACATCTCCACTGGGTTGCATGGAGTGTCGGGGTACTTCGAAGTGCAGAGCGACATTACAGGCGACGTGATCTCGACCATGCACATGGCGTGCTCTCGGTTTACGAATCGCGACTTTTCATGCGATGTGGGCGCCCAGTATGCATCGTATGGCTGGGACTCGCTGCAATACCGCCATGAGCCACTCGCGTTGGAAGCGGGAGTGTCTATTTCTACTTCTTCCAGCATTAACCATTCACCGCTGCCAGTCCTGTCAAACTCTCCACAACAAAGCTCGAGCTCGGCAGCGTTATTCGCGCTACATTCGGGCAATCACTTGCGCCAACGCAACGACCACGTCTCGACGAATTCACCACCGAATCAACCTTTGCTTGGGTCCCGAGGTATTGTGTTTGTGGTGCACCCTGGCATCCTTGCCACCGCCTTTGCCAGCATCCGACGGCTCTGGCAAGACCTCAACTGCTCGTTGCCCATTGAAGTGTGGTACAGACCAGACGAAATGGAAGGGACAAACCCCCTGCTTACTGCTCTGGTCGCTCAATTCCAAGTCCACCCTCGTGTGATCGACCATCCGCTGGCCACTCGGTTCTTCACCAAGCCGTACGCGCTCTATTACAGCGCCTTTGACAACGTCCTGCTCCTTGACAGCGACAACTTCGCCATTCGGAACCCCGAGTTCCTTTTTGACGAGCCAACATTTGTAGCCACTGGCGCCCTCTTTTGGCCGGTTAGTAGCTGTATTTTCCGTCTACTTTCCTGGAAAGCTACACTGTTCCTGGTACTCATTTGCTGTGTAAATTTGTAGGACTATTGGAAGCCAGGCAACTCGCTGTTTGGCCTGAACGGCTTTAGCTCGTTATGGGACCTCACGGGCATCGATTTTGTCGACATGTTTGAACAAGAGTCTGGGCAGTTGCTAGTCAACAAACGGGCAAGCGAGAAGGCGTTAGACGTGCTCATGTTTTACTCGTTTCACACACCTCGGTACGACGGCCTCGTTTATTCGATAGCCATATTCATATGACGACTGGATTCGTTGATCCGTCGCATCGCAATATAGCCTTGTCACGGACTTGGGGTTGGTGCATGGCGACAAGGACCTGTACCGGCTCGCGTGGCTCAAATCGGAATTGCCGTTTCATATGATCGAACGACCTCCTGGAAGTCTTGGCCGCCGACTGCGTTCACGTGGAGGTAGTGGTGGTGAGTTGTTCTGTGGCAACACCATGGTGCAGTACGCTCCCGACGGTAGCCCCCTCTTTTTCCACCGCAACACGGAAAAGATGACGGGGTGTGGGGGCGATAGTCTTTCGTGGGAGTCCCTCCAAGAGTTCCGATACAAGTACAATATATCATGCTGTTGTCGGTTGTTCGCCAGGCTAAGAAAATACATGTAGGGACGTACATGTGTCGAAGTACAGGCCCACGGCGTATCAAGTGGGCGAGTCGAAATGTTTTGGCCACCCAGAACCGTTGGTCAGCGCGTACACGGAGGTTAGTCGGTCGTCATACATCACGATTGAAGCCACGCTGTTGAAATATGCCCGCGAAGGCATGCGGATACAGCACCCCGAAGGTATCACGTCAGCAACAACACGTACTACTAGTATGTGCTTTGACTTGACGAGAAACCTTAGGGTGTCCAACTTTGTGATGATTCAGTCAAGAAGCAACAAGGGGACAAGGCAAGGATGTACGACGACGGATCTATGAGTCCCGTTAAGCCGTGTAGCAAATGTGCTAGCATTGAACAGGGTTGGGTGATTGGTAATATTAACGCGTGTCGTTTGCACAAAGTTGCATACCTCTACTACACCATTTTGCAGTTAAGTTGGACGAATGCCCGATATATTTGGCCGTGCGCCCGATATATTTGGTGGTGTGCCCGATATAATTGGCCATGTGCCCGTTTAATTTGGCAATCTGGTCTAGCCCACGATATGCATAGTAGCTTACACTTTCGTCGATCTCTTGGAGGATCTGTTGCTCATGGAAACTCGGAGCCGTCGCTTCTTGTATTCCTGAATGGATGCAATCGCTTCGTGAAATGAAATTGAAAGGTTTGATTTGAGTGGGTTCAATGTTGAAGTACGTACATAATCGTACATTCATTGTACTGTATATAAATGTATTGTTTCGTACGGTATTCAAATTGTGGCCACTTTTCGAGTTGCAAAATCATGTTTGGTCGAATCCTCCTGCGCACCAGCACCCCGTCGCGACTTGCGGCACCCCTGCGGTCCTTTGCGAAGAAAGCCAAAGGTGCACCCAACATGTTGTCGCCGTATTCACCCCTCTTGTGTCTGGCTCCTTAGGTGGCAAAGCGACAGAGCCCGCGGCGGCCACGGAAGCGCTTGGCGACGTCGCTAAGAAAACGCACGACGAGGTGAAAAAGAACATGCGCGGTGCCGTGGCCAACTACATCAAAGTTCTGTCGGCCATGCGTCCAGGCCAAGCCGACGCAGGCATCTTCGACTCGCTCATGGTGTCGGCATACGGCCAAATGGCGTCGCTGACTGAGTTGGCCCAAGTGTCGGTTGTGGGACCTACCGAGCTCGCCGTCACGATCTATGACCCGTCGGTACGTCGGATGCGTGCCGGTCAATTCTGCTGGCGTGACATGGAGTGTCATGTAGCTCCTGACTGACATCCGGACGGGCATCGAAGGCCTAAACCCGTCGTTCTCGGTGCAACCGAGCGGTGCGACTCTTTCCGTGCGCTTTCCAAAGTATGTGTCCATCGTCACCATCATATGCGAATTTCTGAGTGGCGGTAGAATGACCAAGGAAACCCGCGACGAATTGGTGAAAGCAGCCAAGAAACAAGCGGAATCGGCGCGTCAACATGTGCGCCGCGTCCGTCAAGACGGGATGAACGAGATCAAGAAGCTCAAGGACTCCATTTCCGAAGACGACGTCAAGGTCGAACAGGACAAGGTACCTCAACCACAAGCGAACGAACGGTCGATATTGATATCTTTGGGGGTGTAGATTCAAAAGCTCACGGACGACCACATTGCCGAGATCACGCGACTGCTGGCGTCCAAGGAGCGAGCGTTGGCGGTGATTTAATCAACAACCGCCACCACCTTTCCTGACTCTTAACGAGAAAGATACAAGATATATTGTGCTTTTTAGTGAAATTTCGTGTTGTGGCATGGTTTCTCGTTGAAATTTAAATCGATTTGATTGGCTACTTCAGGTAAGCTCAAAATTATTAACCAATCAAAGCCTATTTCTCAATGAAATTCAACCAATCAGATCGATTGTGGATCGGGTTGGTCGGCGCGATTCGATTGCACCCCCTCCCCTAATTTGTATCAAATCGACAATATTGTGAAACTTAGTATTTGCGTGGTGATTTCGAATCTTGAATCAACTTGTGATTGGCGGAACGTATTTAGCAAGAACCAATCAGATCCATTCAAAATTCCTGTAACCAATAGCGTCGCTTCGTGATTCGAGTAGATTGCACTTATCAAACGTCTTGAATAAAGTATGCACCATAGTGAAGCGGCGACTTTTCAACTTGCGAGTACCTGTATTCTTTACAGTATGTCAAGCGTAATACTAATGTCAAACTGTATTACGACCGTACATGGGTTCGTCCCCACATTACAAAATCGACCATTGGTTGCGTACTTTGACGGCTGCTTGGCGCACGGTCCGCTTGCGGTCGTCCAGCGCCGCCAGCAGTCCCTTGATCACGCGCTCCTTGTGCGGATGAATGAGCTCGTACTTGATCTTGGCGAGGCTGGCCAGACACCCCAGCGCGCGCAGCCGGTCTTTTACGGCATGGCTATTATACAAACATACATTTCCAACATGAATGTTTGTTGATAAACGACCAAACACGCACCAGTGCTGGCTTTGCCACAGCAGACCAGGGAACAATTGGTTCAGGTACCCGTACACGAGTTGGGGGTCGTGCTGAAAGCACATCTACATGACCAGATCAACACTACCGCGTATATATATATATGTATGCATGCAACTACAATACAACGAGAAGGACAACCGGACCTCAAACGTCACAAGCGCGGGATGTCCGAGCAAGGCGGCGTACGGCGGCTCCTTCAAGTTTAACGCATCCACGACCAACGGCACGATGTCGAGGACATGGGGCAGCAGGATCGCGTGCGGGGTGTGGGCCACGACCAAGAGCGTCACCACACGCTTCTCCATGTTTTCTTTGGTCGTCAGGAGCGGAAACAGCAGCGAAAACGTGCGCTGGCGGTGGACCGGCTACAAAAAAAAGTTGACGACAGTGACCATCACATGCTGCACGAGTCCGACGTACGCTGATCAGGGCGTGGCTGGCCGCGGTGAGAACGTCAGTCCAATCATCGAGCACGAGCTCAAACCCGTGGGCGACGTGGAGCTTGAGCTCTTCGGACGAGAGCAACGACCACAGAAACGTAAACACGACGGGGACGGTCGTCGCGTGGGCGCGGAGGACGATGGCTTTGGTCGCGTGCAAGTACACTTGCAGCGCCGCGAGCCGACGAGGGAGCGGGTACCCGGCGTCGACAACCACCGACGCCACAGGCGGCGGCAAGTTGCCGCCATCACTGGAAGAAGATGTCGTGGATGTGACGACATGGGAAAGGTACTGGTGCAGCAGCGCATCGTCCGGCATGGCATTGAGCAAAGCCGCGATGGATTTCAACGCGCACGTCGTGGCTGGATGTGGCGGTGGGCTAGCGGTCAAAGGAGTAGCGACGGCGGTGTGGGGGGGAAGAAGTAGAGGACGTTGGGCGAGCTCAAATAGTAGAGGTAACAGCGTGGGGAGGGCGGGGGCGATGGTGGCCAAGGCGGCCCCGGCAGAGTAGAGCACCGCTCCCAACAGAGGCATCAACTGGAGCGACACCGCGGTAGCTTGGGGTTGCAGCGGGGACACTTCCATCTACGTACACATTCCTCAAATGTCATACACGATATCAAATATATACTGTGCTTTTCAGTCAAATTTTTCTATTTTGGGGGTTTGATGAAATCGCCAACTAATTGAGCCAACGAGTATGATTGGCTACAAAGAATGAAGGTTTCAATTTTATTGGCTAAAAAGATTGCTTGTAGGACTGCAGTCACAAAATACCTCATCAACTTGTTAGTTCTATATGAAAATTTTCGACGGTCCGGCGATTCTTCGGCGGTTCATTCAACCAACCGCCGGAGGAAATTTTGAGTAGCACACACAATATATATATATATATATGAATAATTCGATTTCGTGGACACACACGTACGGTCAAAAAGAGAGAGAGCACATATTGCAACAGCGTTTCTTGGGCTTGGATCGATCCGTGTTGCATGACGACTCCGAGAATCACGGCCGTGGGCGGCACCAACGTGACGGTGACCGCATCATCGTCGTGGTTGAGCAACGCGTGGCCATTCAATTCGAGTTGCTGGCGAACGTGATGCACCACCGTGTCCACGAGCAGCTGCACCACTGACGTTGTCGCAGTTGTCGGTAACACACACGCATCGATGCATGCCACATTCAACTGGTTTAATCGCACGATATTCGCCACGGCCGAGGCAATATCTTTGGTCTGGGGATGCAATTGCAGCAGGGGTTGGTTTGGGTTGATTCCGAGCCCCAGTTGACACAACGGCAGCACCAGCGCCATGAAAATCGACGGTTCCGTCGACAGCTCCGCCAGCACAGCCAACACATCCTTGAGCACGTCAGTAGCAGATCTCCCCAAGGCAGGGGATGCCTACAGAACCAGTCGTGGGCATGCCACGCATATATATATATTGTTGTGTGTATGCTTAACTGGGGCAACATCCAAATGTATAGATGAATCGGCAGAAGTATTAGCCAATCAGATTGAAGGAAACTATCATCGAATTAGTGTGTGTGTGTGACTTCACAATTCGTGTGCTACCAATATCACCACAGGACATCACCTTCTTAGATAAAAAATTCAGTACAAAAAATCGATCGAAATATAATTGATGACAAGAGTCCAAATTTTGGGTAAAAACAACAATATTTCATAGAGGTTTGAAGAAGCTGCGACGTTGTTGTTGTTTCTACCTCGGGGGACGCGACGACGTGCATGAGAGGCGGTAAACTTCTTTCTCGGACGTGGTGCGCCAGTACGGCCGACTTGTTGGCGGTGGCTTTGAGCGCCGCCGTGGCTTCCGCGCGCACGTCGGCCGCTGCGTGCGTGAGGACGACAGTCGTCCACAGGTCCACCAGACTGTGCACCGAGTCGTCTTGGAGGAGCGGGGAAGGCGGTCGAAGCACGAGTTTAGCCAGGCCTTGGAGGCACAGCCGTTGCGGGCGCGAACTGCTGGCGACGTGGGCGGAGGCAAAGTGGAAGCTCTGCACGAGGGCAGCTTGGATCGGTTGCACGTGGGGGAGGACGGGGGGCGTGACGTGGTCGACGTCGACGTCGATGCAGTCCAAGAGCCCGACGAGGCACGCCAGCGCCGCTTCCAGCTGCGACGACGTCGAGCAGCATGAGGACGTGGGAAGTGCCGCCGCCGCCGCCGATACGCGACTGAGCAGAAACGGCAAACTCGACTCGAGCACGTACGTGAGCCCGGCCGCCGACTGCGCAGCGACCCCCGTGAGGACTGTGGCTGCCCGCAGACTCACCATCGAGTCCATCGCTTGGTCTTGCATGTCCCGAAGGGCAGTTTGCACCACATGCACGACAAATTTGGACCACGCCAGCGCCTGCATGCCCGGGAGCGAGCTCGGTGGCGACACTGCCTTGGCGATGGCGCGGAGGGTGGCGGTGGCGGCGGCAATCACCGCCTGGTTGTCCCCGTGCAGAATGGAGCGGTACACGGTGGTCGCGACGGGAGTGAATTGGGTGAGGAGGCGGTTCAGCGGGTACCTTGTGCAGCAGAACGCGAGCGTGTCCAGCATGTCGACTGTCATGTCCGTGACGGTGGTGCGGCTCAGCTTGTCGAGCACCATCGGCACCACATGCTTGGCCATGGAATCGTGCGCGATAAACACGGAGCGCAGCGCGGCCACGAGCTGCGCGGACGTGATGCCGTACGGATCGTTTGGCGGCGGCTTGAACGTGATGGGGAAGTAGCACGACGTGACGTGGAAGAAGAGCCGAATGAGGTCGGCGTCGACGTTGCTGGGGAACGCCGTCAGCAACGCGCTGGCCAACTGCAAACATAGCAGCAAGTTGCGCGGATCCTTTTCGCCGTCCATGGCCGCGAGAAAGCCTTCCATGAGCACGCGGGCACCATGAGTGTCGACGACATTCAACTCGAGGACGATGTTCATGAGCTGGAAGCATTGCTTCCGCATGGCTTGGCCCAACGTAGGGATGGGCGACGGCAGCGAGAACAAAGATTCGAGGAGTAACAGGATGTCGGCGGCGGGAACGGCCGCAGCATGGAACGACAGCAGTGCCGACAGTGCTTTCAAGCAAGGTCCAAGGCTTGGAGTGTCCGCGAGGCGCTCAACGAAGAACACAAGCAAAAGATGTGTGGTGTCAGCAGCGAGCTTGAGTTCTGGCAGCCGCGTGAGTACTTCGGCCAAGAGCAGCGTGGCGCGCGACCGCCGTTTGTCCTGGACGTGCGTCAACTGCGGGCCAAGCAACGTGATCAGGTCTTGGATGGACGTATTGCGGTGGATCTGCATCACGACGTTGTTCAAGTGCGTGGTGTGCTGGGACTCTCCATTCTCGGGGTCCACGAAGCCTTCGACGGCCGGCTGCAGCGGCGCGTCCAGGCTGAACATGATCAAGCAAAGAATGTGGTGGTCTCCAAGGCAATGCACCGCGGTTTCATTGGCTATATTATAGCCAATCTGAATGTTTGATATAGTAATATTATAGCGAACCAACGTCGCCTATTTAAAGTGCTTTGATTGGGTATACTGTACTCGAGTATTTCATCAAAGTCTGTCTAACTCGAATTACGCAATACGGTACCGTACTGCAGTAGTACTACGTACCATTGGTAGCATCATGAGCTTCTCATTAAGTTTTGGCGTGCCGATAACGTTGAGTGGTGACAGTTAGGTCTTGGAATGATCTGACTGGTGCTTAGGGTCTGTTCCAAGTAGATATTTTTAGCAAATGAAAAAGTGGTTCCAAGTGCTAGTTTCTTACTTCTACTTTTTTACCTCTTTTTCTGCGATTTTTTACGCAACTCACTTTACCAAAAATAGAAAAAGACGTCAAGGACGCCTTTTTCTAACTGTAAATCGTGAAAAAAGAAGAGGTATATCTATTTTGATTGGCTCATGCTATTTCTGAAAACTACTGAGTGGGAGGTTAAAGGTCCCAACTGCCTTCGGGTATTATATACGGATTAGAGTCACATACAAAAATCAAGATACATCTCAGCGGTATTTTACATGGGCGCTTGGAAATTTGGCCATAGGGCTAGGTTAAATATCTATTTCTGGACCAAATTCATCACCAAATTTGAATCTGAGACGTAGAATTTCTTCACCACATTAAGATCTGTCGAGTCTACGTCTCAATTTGCTGAAATTTTGAGTAATGAATATGACAATGAAGTCAATAATTTTTGTGAAAAGTTGGTAGTTTATAGATGGCGTGCACCATACCGGTACTGTACAGTCCGCCACCGTCGCAACTCTGCGATGCCCATTATCATTGCATTCATCAAATAAATATCATTTTCAGTGATTATGATTGGTTCATGACATTGTAGAAGCAGTGCTCCTTGATTTCGTGTTTTTCACACACAAAATGGAAATCCAAAATATTACCTTACAGTGTTACAAATTTTATCCCTGAGAACAAATTTGGAAGTGGCAAAAAGGGGAAATGTTCTGACTACTAGTAACGGTAGCGTTATTGTTTTTTTGCGTTATACATTGTACAGTACTACTCTAGGAACAAACTGCACGGGGGCAGTATTCAAGCCAAGTTGCATTTGTGCAGTTACGCAGTGAAATGCCAAAAGTGCAATATCACCTCGTTCAGGTGATTGCAAGTGCCAAGGGATTCATTCACTGGCATCCTACCTGTTTTGACGACGTATTAACCGTGGACCTCTCCCATCCGGATACAATACTAGGGACTCCGTCCTACCCCCGATGAGTACATATGTCCTTAACTATTGGTAACCACTGATATGCACTTCATCCCCCCTAGAGGTGAGATGGTCAGAGTACAGTGCATTTGTACGACGTCTCCCAAAATACGGGGGGTCCTATACGTATACTACGTAGGTTCGCAATTCAGCATCATTTGCTAAGCTATTTAGCCCACTACATCCGCCTCTTATGTTTCAAGGCGAACAGAGTAATACTCGGCGAGGAATGAGTGTCCCATTTGCGTAATTTGCATCTTTGGCTTATTCTAACGATTTGTCGAAAATTGAAGTATTTCTAAAGCCATAAGTAATTTGACGGTTCGCCCAACCTACGGTATACTAAGTCCCATATAAACACTGAAAAACAACAGTGGTATTGATTTAAATTGAGGGAGTTGTCATGTGGGCGCTCATCAAATAGGTTCAACCGGCTATCCCATGTCCCTGCCCCGAATATACACAGAACGGAAACGAGGGCAAGTGAGTACGAAGCACACCTCCATCTCATGCCGATGGGATCCGAACGAGGACACGCTAGGAATGCTCTTCTCTTCACGACGCTTGTGAATATGGCGAGTGCCGCCGTGTCCTATGCAGAATCACCGACAGCAACACCGCCGATGAGGCAGTACGTTCACGATTTCCCGCTTGTCAGATTCACGCACTTCAACCCGACACAAGAACAGGATGCCCCCGCTGATCATCCTTCGACAGGAATTGTTGACAACGTATCACCGACAGCAACACCGCCGACGAGGCAGTACACTCATGATTTCCCGCTTGTCAGACTCACGCACTTCAACCCGACACAAGAACAGGATGCCCCCGCTGATCATCCTTCGACAGGAATTGTTGACAACGTCATCGTCGCCCCTTCGACTGCATCCCCCTCACCGCCACTCCCCACGAATGCCGCAAATACCACGATCACACTGCCTCCAGTGACCCCCCTTCCGACACGCATCAACACGACGACAGTTAACCCAACTGTCACCACTCCATCGCCAACTACACCACCGCAACCATCATCTAGTACGCCATCGTCAACTACGAACGAACCTACGCGCACCCCACCTCCCTCCCCCATTACGACCAATGTTCCATTCCCAACACAACCATCGAGTGTACCTCCGATCCCGGCAACGCCTACGAACTCAACATCGAAACCACTTCCCACTACAAGCTCACGCACCACTACGACACAACCTGAACCCAAAGGAGCCACCAAAACAGTTCCTAGACAACCCAACACCACAACAACAGAACAGCTTGCCACTCCTACCTCGACACGGCCTGCACCAAACTTCACCACAACAACCACAGCTCCACCTGCTACACCACAACCCACTGCACCAAACACCACAACCACAGTGCAGCCTACCACTCCTTCACCTACAGCCACCTCAAACGTCACCACTACTTCACGGCCTCCTGCTCCTGAACCCAGTGGTTCTAACGCCACCACGGTACCACCGGCTACCCCTTCGCCAACGACTAC